CAACCACTGTTCTTTACGTTGTCTACATAGTTTTGCCTTTTCCAGAATGTCATATAGTAGGATTCATATAGTAGCCTTTTCAGATCGGCTTCTCTTAGTAATATGCATTTAAGTTTCCTCCATGTCTTTTCATGGATTGATAGCTCATTTCTTTTCAGTGCTAATATTTCACTGTACGCATGAACCACAGGTTATTTATCTGTCCACCTACTGAAGGACATCTTGGTTGCTTCCAAATTTTGGAAATTATAAATAAAGCTGCTATAGACATCTGAGTGTCAGCTTTTGTCATTTGTGTAGGCATAAGTTATCACCTTGTTTGGATAAATACCCAGAAGTACAAATTGCTGGATTGTATGGTAAGAGTATGATCAGTTTTGTAACAAACTGACAATCTTCCAAAGTGGCTGTAATAATATTTTCTTAAAAAACGAATTCCTTAGGAATTTGTATATCATGTCATGTACAAATAGCAATAGTTTTACATCTTCCTTTCTAACCTGAGTGCATTTTATTTTATTTTCTTGTCTAACTGTTCTGGCTAGAACAGTACAATGTAATAGAATAGAATAGAAGTGATGAGAGTAATAGTGGTGAATGGGCTTGGCTAGAATAGAATAGAAGTGATGAGAGCAGCAGTAATGAATGGAATAGGATAGGATAGGATAGGGTAATAGTGGTGAATGGAATAGGATAGGATAGAATAGAATAGAGTAGGCAACAGTGGACCTTCCTGTCTTGTTCCTGATCTTACAGGGAAAGCATTCAGTCTTTCATCAGGTTGAGGATGTTCTCTTCTAGTCTTAGTTGTTGAGCATTTTTATCATGAAGACATGTTGGATTCTGTCAAGTGCCTTTTCTATATCTGTTAAGGTGATCATGTGGTTTTTGTCTTTATCACTGTATGACATATTACATTAATTGATTTTCAGATGTTAAACTAACCTTGCAATCCTGGGATAAATCCTGTCCAATCATGATTTTTAATCCTTTAGATATGTTGCCAGATTTGGTCCAGAGTATGGCAGCTGCTTTTATTCTTCCCTTCTGCTCAGCCATAGGTGTGTCCACTCTGATGAGAGGCCCTTTCCCAGCTTTGAGTGCAGGAAACACTTCAAGAGAAAGTATGCCCTGAAAGCCCACCAGTGGGTCCATTAGGCAGAGAAGGTGAGGCACAGTGTGGGAAAACTGGGCAGCCCCTGTGCCAGGCTCCTGACCTGGGGATCAGGACCCCTGTTCACGTCCACTATTTCTCAGGTAAGTTCCAGGAGTGTGGCTGATGTGGGTGAGGTGCTGTGAAGGAGCTTATGATGGATGATATCCCTCCTCACCAAGTGTCGGCCATGCAGAGCAAGAAGGGGCAGGAGAGAGAGGGAAAAAAATGTACAAAGTGACAAGTTCTGTAGGTGCCTTGATGTCCCTCTTCAGAGAGCAGGAGATAATCAGAAATGTATCAATGAGTTACCTCACTCAGAAAGGGAATAGGTTGGAACTTGATTACATGAATCTGTTAAGAAAAGGTGAGACTCCATTACTGATTACCCCTAGGACTAATGCTGCTTGTCCAAGTCTGGGTTTGTGACCTCTTAGGCAAAGGTTAGGTGCCTGTCAGTCTATAAGGTGAACTGTGTGTACTGAAACCGAAGGCTGCACTTTCAGACCTGTCCCCTCACCGAACATGAAACCAGGAGACATGAATCTCAAAGCCTTTCACCTAGTTTAGAGCTGTCAGTGCAATGCAGAGGACATTCCAGGTTCAAGCTCATCCCTGCCTTTACTAACAGATTTTAGGAAAGCTGCTCAACTGTGATGGAAGGATAATTGTCCTCATAAGGACTCTGGGAGGTGAGTTTCAACTGAGATCGTCTATATCGTTGTGCCCACAAGGTGTTGGCCCTTAACACCATTTCCCCTTACCCAGAACAGGGTGCTTTTAGTCTTTCTGTGGCCGCTTGGTGTATAGGCTCCCTGGATCTTCTCTAGCCTTTTCTGCAGTGGGAAGTCCTCCTTTGTAAGGAGCCCTGCTTGTCCCTGTCCCCAGTGTAGATCCAGGAATTTATACAGAAAGGAGCAAGGCACTCTGCTCTCATTAAGTACTGGGTGCTTTTTTTCTCCAAAGTGCTTCCCTGCAGTTAGAGGAGTATCTGACTCTGCCTGATTCCTAGGTCCTACCTTAGTGCAACCAATCAAAATGGTGGCAAGCCTGGAGTTAAAAAACAAAATTCAACTGAGTAAATTTGAAGATCTAATTGGCTTTATTAAATGATTCATGAGATGGGCAGCCTCTCATCTAGGAAGCAGAGGGATACTCCAAGGAGTTATACGAAATGGAAAGGAGGGTGGAGCAAGGAAGTCATTAGCAAAAGAAAAATGAAAGTTCATTGGAGGAAAACAAAGAGTTCAGGGTGACTGTGGCTTCTCATTGGTTGAGCTGCAGCCCTTTCCATTGGAGCATGTTGCTGGGGCAAGAAGAAAATCTTCCCCCTGTAGAGTAGTAAATGGATATACCTTCCTGTTGGAGATGCTAGGTATATCTCTTCCCATTTGAGGTAACTGAGGATGAGTGGTAGGGCACAGGAACTCCCACTACAGGCCTTCCCAACTCGTTTTAGCTGAGGTTTCCTTTATTAATTTTCACAGCCAAAAGGGCGAGGCTGAAGCTGCACCTTCAGTCCAGCCTGCCTTTCTATTTCCTGGATGTGGGAAGAGGGCCCAGCACCTTCTCACCTCAGTATTTCATCTTCTCTGCTGTTCAATGTCAGCATCTTCTTGTTCAGGTGACAGCTCATCTTTACCATTTAGGCAAGATGTCCACGGAGGAAGTGTGATTCTTTTCAGCCTCCTCTGTTTAGTCACTTTCTTCCTTTCAAATGAAATGGTTTGCTATCGATTTTACTTTTTATTCCCTTAGTAGCCTAACTTTACATTCTTATTTCTCCAAACTGAACTGTGTATAGGCATGTTGCCACACAGCTGTGCAGCCGTCTGTCCCTCCGTGCTTAACCCTAAACTGACCCTTTTGAGGACAGTGCTCATACACCTTGTGTCTCCTTGTTTGGCTCCAAAGGATGGCCAGTTAGTCAATGATGGTTAAGATTCCTCATGGGAGGAACAACCTAAGACAGGCATGGTCGGGTGGAGGCCATAGGAGAAATCTTGCGGCTGATGGAGGTGGGCATGAGCCTTTACTAGCTCCCCAAAAAGACTGGAGGTTTTCTACCTCTGTAGCTACATTCCTTCCCTCAACCTGCTTGGGAAGTGACCTGATGGTGTGATAGTATCTGTCCTCAGCACAATAATCTTATCTTCCTGGGGTTGTATGCATATAGGGTGTGTGAAGGCAGAGCATCTGTCTTATCACTGCAGGAGGACTATAGCAGCTTGCAGGCATGGGTAATTTTGGCTTGAGCAAGTTCTCAGGGATGAGACTCACGGACTGTGGAGAGAACAAGGCTACTTCCGGGTAGGTGGATAAATAAAAGCGGTGTGTCGGCCCGATTTGGGGCTCTTAGTCCATGAGGCTGGAGACCCTTGGCCCCACGCTCATTTAACTCTTGACTGCTGTTTCTTTTATTTCTTAACCCTTCGCCATCCCCTCTCGTTCTCCCAATGCTCATGTCGTGCGGAGCGCAACATAGGCAGAAAGAGTAGGCACAAAGTTATCAGTTCATCCTGCAAACTACCAGAGTAATCTTCCTAAAACATACTTCTCTTCTCTAAACTTATTGAGAGTGCCCCCAAAGTACAGGATGAAGGCCTCCAATATCTGGTACCAACCTACCCTTTCAGTCCTTCAGTTTTACCATAGGTGTATCATGTGCCACATCAGAAAGTAGCATCATTCTCTTCACATTCATAACTTTTCTGAATTCTGGGCTTTGTGCCAGAGACCTTTATGGCTATGGAATTCAGCTGTTTACTCAACAAATGTATAATGAACACCACTGCCCTCCTTAAATCCTATTCCTTCACAGACCAAACTCATTTCGCACTTGATGCATGTCTGGAAAGTCATTAGGAAGAGGGGCTCTGTCTTATTCATTTTGGCAATCTTGACATTCCACCTTCCACCCCATGTTCTATAAAGTCACTGTCCTTAGAACAGAATAGACTTTGGTGAAGGTTCACTGAAGTTTTTTTTATCTTCCTTGGATAAAATCATCTTCCTTGGAATCTCTTACTGCCTATGTGATCTTGTGCTTTCCTGTCCCATTATTTGTCTTTATTCCCTGTAGACTTTGGGGTAGTGTTTTGCCCATAGTAGGTGCTTTAAAATATTAATGGGTTGGGGAGATAGATGTGTATGTCACCCGCTGAGGTAAGAGATATAGCAAACGGTATATTCTCCCACTTCTGGGAGATGCCATCCAGCTGGCGAAACTGCACCACCACACTTACCCTGAAGTGGGGCCAGACCGATGGTGTGGGTGCTGACGGGCTCCATCAACAATTCCCTTTCCAATATGCCTTTCCCATACATGCTTGTCTCATTCTGTTATTAGTTGTGAATGTAATATGCCTCACTAGGCTGAACTCCATTCAGAAAAGGGACCAGAAGTTATTTCTGTGACGCAGCCTCTCCTAACTACCCAGCACTATGCTGTGTACGTCGAACAAATGTATGTCAAAATAAAGTCTGGAGAGAGACGCAGAAGATTGAACCTTATACATCTGAAACGAATATTATATTGAGTGTTAACTGTAATTGGAAAAAAAAAAAATTGAACCTGAGAAGAGACCAGGAGCTCAGGTGGAGTTAGGAAGAGGGGAAGAGTGGTGGGAATAATGTCCCCGGAATCCCCGCGTTTAAATTTATTCCTCTCCTTACTAGCAAGCAGTATCCTTCTGAGATCTTTCCTCATCAGTGGAACTGGGGTGATAACCCCCCCCACACACACACACACATAATGGTGGCAAAGAATAAATAAGATAAAATGCATATAATGTTGGGCATGGTGTCTGCACACAGGAAGCACTAACGTTAACTCCCTTCCCAAAAGGGCAACGAGGAAGTTCCCCATTATCCAAAGCGAAGGTTCCTCTTAAGAAAACCACGAAAAGGAGCCGAGGGGCATCTCAGGCCTGAGAGAACCGGAGTGGCTCCCTCGCCCACATCCTTCCCTCCGTGCGCCCCGCAACACCTGCCGGAGAACCAGCTGGTGGCTAACTAGGTCCGCAGCCCCTCGACGGACCTACACTCAGTCACCCGACATTAGAGGGCCGGTTTCCGCCCTTACGCTTCCATTGGCTTCGTCCAAACGGGCTTTCGCCGGCGTCCAATCAGAACGCTCGACCTTCAGCTGCCGCCCAATGACCGCGTACAATGGGGGGAAGAGCGTGAAGCCCATCGCAGCGCCATCACACTTGAGGGCAAAGAGGGTAGGAAGCCGGCATGGCGCTCCGGTCAATAAAATCGATAGCTGGAAGCTGCCTGTGTTGCAGGCAAAGGCGGCGCAGTAGCAGCGCCGCCATTTTCCCCGAAGGCATCTTCCGGTGCCTTTCCCCCAAGTTCAGGCAGGAGTTTCCTGAATAACAGTGAGAGGTTTCCGTTAGCCCCGGAGGCAGCCGACTGAGAGTCCCTCCGGTCCGCCCCTAGACATAGTCCCGGTCCAGCGGGGGCTCAAGTCCCGGTCCAGCGGGGGCTCAAATCCCGGGGCCCGTTGGGGGCCGAGGCTGGGACGGGGAAGGCCGTGGCGCCGGCTTCTCGGATGCAATGGCGCCGCCTTCCGCTCCACTCTCCGCACGGGGACCAGGAGAGGCCGTACCGGGCCGGAGAGGAGGAAGGAAGCCAAAGGCGGTGAAGTTCGCGGACGTGGCCGTGTATTTCTCCCCGGAGGAGTGGGGGTGTCTGCTGCCCGCGCAGAGGGCTCTGTACCGGGACGTGATGCGCGAGACCTACGGCCACTTTGGCGCGCTCGGTGAGGCCCGGCCCAGTCTGCTTCCGCGGGGACGAAGGGATGGAGGCGCTTGGAGGGGGCGGGAGGCGGGTAGAGGTGGGGGTGGGGCAGGGAGTCCAGAGTGTCCAGGGTCCTCGCCTGCGACCAGGTGGTGTCAGGGATGAGGACTGGGGCTTGGCAGGAGATGCACTGGGTAGATATTTATCCAGCGTTATGTATGAGCTGGACCTCTAACTGGTTCTCCTTCCCCAGGGTGCGCAGGTCACACACCAGCCCTGATCTCCTGGTTGGAACGAAATACCGATGATTGGGAACCAGCTGCCCTGGATCCGCAGGAGTGCCCACGGGGGGTAACAGTCCAAAGAAGTGAGTGAAAAATGCCCATGGAGGCACTGCAGCCTCTCATGCCTCAGTCCATAGCTTTGGTGGTGAGGGGTACCCGTGACCCATGTTGTAGCGCTCCACTTCCTGTGTTCATTTTCAGTTTCAGGGTACCGTTTATCATGGTGTTGGGGTGGGTCCACCACACACACATTCCCATGCCAGTTTGCAAAGTAGCCATCTGCAGTTCTCTAATCAGTGGGCTGTTAAAAGAAGCTACCTTCCTGCCTGCTTCCCGGGATCCTTGCCCCAGTCTCCTGTGAACTGGGCTCTGACAGGGAGACCTTCTACCTCCTTGAGTTGTCTGTGTTTTGGTTGAAGGGATCTCCTGAAGAGCAGCTGCCTGGGGCGCAGGGATCTCTTTCTGCCCATCTAGCAGATTCCCCTGATCAGTGCAGGGCACACTGCCCTCTCCCCCAGGACCCAGCAAGGCTCTGATTAATGCCCTTCATGTAGAAGGCCCCAGACCACTCACAGGGAATTCCTTGGGTTGGAATTTCTTACTAGATTCTCTCAGACCAGAGCTAGCTAAGGTTCAGATCTGACCGTGATGTTTTTTGCTTAAAACCTTTCAGTTTTTGGGCTGGCCGAGTAGCTCAGTTGGTTAAGAGCTCGCTCAAGAGTTTGAGCTCTGAGCAACAGCGTTTCGAGTCCCAGCCCAAGCTGAGCAGCCGCTGAGCTGCCAACAGGTGGCAGGATGGCTCAGCTTAAAAAACAAAACAAAAACCTTTCAGTTTTTTGCCAGGGCAGGTGTACAACAGCCTTAGTTATAGCTAAGTCGCTTAGGGAACTTATTTATACTCTTATGGATGTTTAGGAATGTGTTTTTGTTTTAACAACCACAATTGAATTGGATGTATGGTTAGGTTTGAGAACCATTGGGTACAATACAGTCCAAGGTCCTTACGGCAGCGGTTCTCAGTGTGGTCCTCAGACCAGCAGCAGCATCACTCCCCATCTTTTTTTGAAATTCAAATTTGTGGGCCCCACCCCAGACCTGCTGTTTCCTTTCTTTTCTTATTTTTTTTTAAGATTTTTTTAATTGGGGGGTTGGGGGAGGGGAACAGCATTGGGGAATTGGGGAAGGGGAACAGACAAGTTGCTGTCCTTTTTTGTTCTTCAGTCTAGTTGTGGAGGACGTTGCTTCACTGGCCCGTGTTAGTATTATCATTGCACTGAGGCAGTCGCTCGCAGGCCATTGGGCGGCCGCTTACAGGTGCTAATGGCAGCCCAGCTCCAGGTTGAGCTGTTGTTCACCATCTTAGCTGTAGAGGGCACAGCATCACTAACCCTAATGTGGGATCTGAACCGGGGCCCTGCTGCTCAGAGCAGGTGTCCCAAGCAACTCTTTTTTTTTTTTATTGGGGAATTGGGGGGAGGGGAACAGCGGGGAATCGGGAAAGGGGAGCATACAGGTAGACAAATTGCTGTTTTTGTTCTTCAGTCTAGTTGTGGAGGACGTTGCCCCATTGGCCCATGTTGGTATGATTACTGTGCTCTTCCGGGATGAGGCAGTCGGGTCGCCGGTCATTGGTCGGCCGCTCACAGCGGCTCTCAGCAGCTCACACCGGCTGCCGACCACTCACGTAGCTCACGGCAGCCCACTGCAGCCCCGCTGCAGCCTACACCGTTGCTGGTGACTCACAGCAGCCCAGCTCCAGGTCAAGCTGTTGTTCATCATCTTAGCTGTAGACAGTGAGCGTCACTGGCCCTCAATGTGGGATCTGAACCACAGCCCTGCTTCTTAGAGCTGGCGCTCCCAAGCAAGCTCTTACCCAGCTGAGCCACTCGGCCGGCCCCCAAGCAACTCTTAACCAACGGGCCACTGGGCCAGCCCCCAGCAATCTGTTTCAATAAGCCTTCCAAATGTTATACCATCACAATAAACTTTGAGAACCACTGGCTTAGAGGGCCTTAGCTCACTCCTCATTTGTTTCCACTTCCTGCCTTACACTCACCTCTTCAAAAATGTTTAATTTTTAAAGTCAGCTTAATCTCCTCCCAGAAACCTTCCTGGGTTAGGGGCTGCTGTATACATACTGCTCCATATTTCCATAGCCGTATGTGTCGCTGAGTTGTCTGTGTCACTAACACTCCTTGAAGACGGGCTGAGTCTGTGTGTCTCGTAACCTGTGGTACTGTAATAGGCAAGAGTAGGAGCCCAGTATTTGTTCAGTTAATTTCTCACTGTGTCCCTGTAGGAACCAGAACCAGAAAGAATGGCGAGAAGGAAGTATTCCCACCGAAGGAGCCACCCCGAAAGGGGAAGAGGGGGCGGAAGCCCAGTAAGCCCCGACTGATCCCCAGACAGACATCTGGGGGTCCCATCTGCCCTGACTGCGGTTGCACCTTCCCTGATCGCCTGGCCCTGGAAAGCCACAAGTGTGCCCAGAACCTGAAAAAGCCTTACCCTTGCCCAGACTGCGGGCGCCGCTTTTCCTACCCATCGCTGCTGGTCAGTCACCGGCGGGCACACTCCGGAGAATGTCCCTATGTTTGTGACCAGTGTGGCAAACGTTTTTCGCAGCGGAAGAACCTCTCCCAGCACCAGGTCATCCACACAGGCGAGAAGCCTTACCATTGTCCTGACTGCGGCCGCTGCTTCCGGAGGAGCCGCTCTTTGGCCAATCACCGGACCACGCACACGGGCGAGAAGCCCCACCAGTGCCCCAGTTGTGGGCGTCGATTCGCCTACCCGTCCCTGCTGGCCATCCACCAGCGCACGCACACAGGGGAGAAGCCCTACACCTGCCTGGAATGCAGTCGCCGTTTCCGCCAGCGCACCGCGCTGGTCATCCATCAGCGCATCCACACTGGCGAGAAGCCCTACCCGTGCCCGGACTGCGAACGCCGTTTCTCGTCGTCCTCGCGCCTGGTGAGCCACCGGCGCGTGCACTCCGGGGAGCGGCCCTACGCCTGCGAGCACTGCGAGGCGCGCTTCTCCCAGCGCAGCACGCTGCTCCAGCACCAGCTCCTGCACACTGGCGAGAAGCCCTATCCCTGCCCGGACTGTGGCCGTGCCTTCCGGCGCAGCGGCTCCCTGGCCATCCACCGCAGCACGCACACCGAGGAGAAGCTGCATGCGTGTGATGACTGCGGCCGCCGCTTTGCCTACCCCTCGCTGTTGGCCAGTCACCGGCGCGTGCACTCAGGCGAGCGGCCCTACGCCTGTGACCTGTGCTCCAAGCGCTTTGCCCAGTGGAGCCACCTGGCGCAGCACCAGCTCCTGCACACCGGTGAGAAGCCGTTTCCCTGCCTCGAGTGCGGCCGTTGCTTCCGCCAGCGGTGGTCTCTGGCGGTCCACAAGTGTCACCCCAGATCTGCGCTGGAGGGGCTCAGTCAGAAGCACAACAACCTTTAGAATCGGAAGGACTGTCTTGAGTTCATTTCATTTCAAGGAGAGACGCAAAGAAGGAAGGAGAAGCCCCAGGCCATAGAGGGCAGGTTCAGGCCTAAAACCCAGGTCTGCACTGCAGACCTCAGCTGAGTCTATTCTAGCGCACTGGCTGCCTTACTATGCTTGTCTGTTAAAACGACAGCCCCATTAGGCGAGGTGACATCATTCGGTTAAAGTTCAACAAGCTACCCTACCTTAAGAGAATGTCTGTGCGTGGCCACCAGGACCAGAAGTTCGCCTCACCTGCTTTAGGAGCCGTCTGCTGTTCTAGTTTGTGCATACAGGGGTCACCTGTCCCCTTGCATGTGGTCGGGAGAATCCCACTTATGGGGGGGCAGGGTCTTCCCCTACTCTGCCGCTTCCTCCATTCCAGGTTTAAACAAATCTGGTTTCACTCCCTTTACAACACTCCTGCCAAGTGGTGTTCCGTCCTTGCTTTCAAACCTCCCTTGACGGGGAGCTCACTACCTCACAAGGCAGGTCATGTCATTTTGGGATAGTTGATCCTGAGAAGGTGGTCAGTGCCACACTCTCCTTCCCTGTAAGCCTTACCCAGAATATGTTCAATACTCCTCCATATGACAGCCCTTTGGATAACTTAATCACAACCATTTTGACCCCGTGTTTTCAGTTTAAACAGCATTACCTTGGTCAGTCATTCCTTAAAGACAGGGTTTCAATTCCCACACATGATCTTGCTCCAAACAGGTGCTGGTTTTTCAATGTCCCTTTTGAAGGGTCATTTATACAGAAGTCAGCCTACCCCCTTGGTCTGTACTTGTTTTAACAGCTCTAGGTGGCAGTGGATTTGGGGGGTGGCCTCTGAACCAGGGGTTTACTGGGTTGCAGACACCTAAATACTTAAACTTTTTTTTTTTTTTTTAAATTGGGGAACAGTGTTTTTCCGGGACCCATTAGCTCCAAGTCAAGTAGTTGTCTCAGTCTAGTTGTGGAGGGTGCATCTCAGTGGCCCATGTGGGGATCGAACCGGCAACCTTGGTGTTATGAGCACTGCGCTCTAACCAACTGAGCTAATGGGCCACCCCAATACCTAAGCTTTTTAAAAAAACAAAAACCACATACTGTGAAGCTAAGTCTTCTGTACCCTGTGTTTGGAAAGTCGGTTCAGGTTGGGTCTGGGACAGAAGTGCAGTGATCTTATGGAAAAGCAGGGAAGGTGTGGGCTGGCAGCAAGAAGGGAAACCGGGACTAGCTTGTACTTTTCCTGGTGGATTTGCATTATTTCCAGGCAGCCAGTGGTTGGAAAATCTTTGAGAACTAGGTCTCACACCTCCCTGATTCTCATCAGAACAAGGAGATGTCAGCACAGAATCTCCCATGAGTCCTCAAGTCAACATTTTCATAAAATGAAGGAGGCCGTTCAAGGGGGGTAGAAAGTTAGGTGATTGAATACAGAAAGACTGTACAGTCATGTGAAAGAGCCTGTCCCCTCCCATAAGCTCTAGGAGGCAGCAGTGTGTCCTAATCTTTGATGTGCCTCCATGGCACGCACCGCGGGGGAGGGGCTCAGTAAAGCTTTACCGAATTGAATGAACAGGCCTACCATTTTGCCTTGGGTAGCTGCACCACATTGGAGTTTCCAAACATGACTTATCTCATATTCCAACAGCTGGAAGGGGTCATGCTATCCCTGGTACTTCTTCCTTCAGCTCTCCCGATCTCAGCCTCAAAGTGGGGGAGCAGCTGGGGAACACAGCTTTTGTAATTACATCTGTTCTGTTGTTTAGCAAGTTGCATTGTAACTGTTTCTCCTTGGGTGGTGAGCTACCCTAAGGCAGGGGTCAGACCACATTGGGTCTCATTAAAATGTCTGATGAATCAGTTACATTCCTGTGGAATTACTGTTTATAAAATAAATCTAGTTCTTGACCGAGTAGAAATTTCTATAGTTCTGATGGAGACCTGCCCTACCCTGGCAGAGATTTATCAGACGTCTGCTCAGCCCCCCTCTTTTACCTACTTATCACCAGGCTGACCCAACTGTTTCCTTACCTAGGAATTTTATAACTGTCTTTGGGTCTGGTTGTAACTCATTAAAGCTTGGGAGCCATTAGTGGTTAAGTTCCAGTGTCCGTTCTGGGGAGGGCGGAGATAAGAGACATCTTCCTCGGTTTCCCAAAGCACTTCAGGCCCAGATCCCTTTGATGAGCAGTTGTGATCCTGGCCTGTACTCAATGGGAGATTCCAGTATTATCCTTCCAGTAAATTCCCCCTTCTGCTTCAGGTACTTTCCTAAGTTAAGTCTCTCTTCCTTGCAATCAATATTGCTAACTAATACACAGCCCCAATATGGGTTCATCTCTCATCTGCCTTCATGCCTATACATAGGCTATGAGGAAAAAAAATGGCAGTGCTGCTGGGAGGAGCCAGCCACTATACCTTTCCTGATCTCCAACCTCAAGTGAACCTTCAATATTACGTCTTCCATCTATCTTGAGCCAGGGAATACCTTCTCCTTCAACAAGAAAACAAAAAGGCACCAAATGGGAACCCCTTCAACATTCCAAACTCCCTGCCCTGACTCCCAGTTTGCCAGCATGATTACTCATATTTACTTGCTTCCATCTTTCCTTGGGGAAGTCCCTTGTGCAATGCTCAACAACGGGGTGCCTGGATTTCATCAACTGCTCCTCAGGGACCTGGCTCCATCTTTCATCTTCCTCTCCTCTTAGTTTTATGGTTTCAGAGTCCTTCTCTTGTCTGAAACACATACACCCCAGCCTATAAACATGTTAAATGTTGTCTTTAAAAACAGTAACTTTCCCCCATCTCCTATTTTCAGCTAAATTTCTTGAAACAGTAGCCTACGTTAACTATAGCCACTCTGTTCATTCTTTGGTCTATGACAATAGTTCTACAGCCACTTTGTTGAGCATTTATCATGTATCATATACTACGTTAAGCATTTTCTTTACATTCAAATCTAATTTTCACAAGAACTCCATAAACTAGGTGTTAGGAGATGCTTCTCCATGGGTCTTTCATGTTGCTACATATCTTGTTGAGTACCAAAAATGTGGGACCCCGCCCTCAGCAAATTCTCAGGCTTAAGCCAATTCCAGACCTTGAGCCCCACTGAATGAGGGGAGGCTGGGTTTTCTTGATGAAGGACTGTCTTAACGTTGGTGAAAACAGGTGGCAGATCTAGCCTTTACTAAATGTACCTGCAACCATTTGCCAGGGTGGCTGGGCACTGGAGAACAGGACATTGGGTGTAAACTGAGTCTAATGCTTGGAGATATGGTCTGTGCACAAAGGGGTTAACTCAGCAGACCTAAGTTGCCCAAACCCTGCACATTCCAAAAAAAGTTCATCTTTTAGGGCATAGCCCATCTTTGGCTCAACCTGGGAGATAAATTCTGAGTCCCTGAATATTTTGTCTAATTAGGGTGTTTCTGAGTGCCAGAGGCCTGGAGCCAAGCTGTACCAGTCCGACCTGTTAAGTTTATCCTAACAAAGTGAGTTACGGTGACTGCCTTTATTGCTCTGGGGGTTTGGTGTCTGAGTAGCTGAGGTCAGTTGTATGGGACTCCATGTCTATGTAACTGAACCCCAATAAAAACCCTGGACACCAAGGCTCGGGTGAGCATCTCTGGTTGGCAATAATTTGTGTATATTGTCACAAATCATTTCTGGGAGAATTACATGCATCCCTGTGCAACTCCACATGGAGAGAATGCCTGGAAGTTTGCATCTGGTTTCTCCTGGACTTTGCCACATGCACCTTTTCCCTTTGCTGATTTGAATCTGTCCTCTTTTGCTTTAATAAACCTGAGAATAAGGGGAAAGAAAAAAAAAAGGCAAGACACTGGCCACTCTACCCAGGCCATTTCTCAGGAGTGTGTCTGTAGCACGTGACCTTGAGGGAGAGGTAATGGCTCTATTTGAAACAAACTGCAGTTTACTCACCACTTACTCTAAAACAGCAGGTTCTACAAGCTCATTGTTCCCCCCTTATAATGCAACTCACTGTGTGCCTCGCATCCACTTGGCCCCTCCAGGTTGGTTCTGTAAGACTTAGGAGGCAAAAGTAACCAGTGTGTACATGATGCCCAGGCTGCTTGTGGTGCCGCGAATAAGGTCATTTGTCTCTGACATAGGAGTCTTTTGTCTCCTGCCGGCATCCATGAAACAGTAACAGACCAACTTGGTTTTTTTATATATATATTTTATTGGGGAATTGGGGGAGGGGAACAGCGCTGGGGAATCGGGGGAAGGGGAACACAAGTTGCTGTCCTTTTGTTCTTCATTCTAGTTGTGGAGGACGTTGCTTCACTGGTCCATGTTGGTATTATCATTGTGCTCTTCCCAGATGAGGCAGATCAGTCGCTGGCCTCTGGACGGCCGCTCACAGCGGCTCTTGGCAGCTCACACCAGCTGCCAGCTGCTCACGCTGGCTGCCAGCCACTTGTGGTAGTTTATGGCCGCCCACTGCAGCCTCACTGCAGCCTACGCCATCGGTGGTGACTTACGGGCAGACCAGCTCCAGGTTGAGCTGTTGAGCTATTGTTCACCATCTTAGCTGTAGAGGGAAGTGTCACTGGCCCTCATGTGGGATCCGAACCTGGACTCTGCTGCTCAAAGCTGGCATCCCAAGCCAACTCTTAACCAACGTGCCACTCAGCTGGCCTGAACTTGTTCATTTGTAAACAGGATAACCTCAAATTGCACACCTGATGGTAGGTATCATTTCCCTTTAATAGAGGAGGAAACTGAGGTTCAGTGATAGAGTATTAAATAACTTGCCCAGGATCACATATCTAGTTAATCTAAGGGGAAGGATCCCAAGTCAGGTCTGACTCCAAAGCCAGCTGCTATACAACATACTAGCCCACAGAAATTGTCCTCTTAAGATGACCGATGATTTAGTTAACAAATCAATACTTTAGTTTTTATCTTAATTACCTTAGTTTGCCTACTCAACTCTCTTGTAACTTAGCCTTCATGCCTCAGATTCTTCTAAAATTCCTGGTGCCTTCTTGTGTGTATGTTCCCAGCGTCTATATTTCCTAAGAACAATCAGTCAAGAAACTGGAAAAATGCATGAAAGTATTATAATTCTCCTGTTTGACTTAAGTGTAATATTTTCTGTTTTTTGTATGCATCTCTATTTTTAATCTAAAATGAAAAACACTTTGAATTTTGAGCCTGATTCCAATTGTTATAATTTATAAGGCATTTTATTTTAATGTTATAAACAAAACATTTGTTAGACTATACTTGATTTGTTGGTACTGTGATGCAAAATATAATTTCCCATTTCAGTATTCAGGTTGCATCTTACTTACTCTATCATGTTTTGTACTTCGCAATATTCCTTGGTCCTTAAAAAAAGAAGTATATTATGTAGAAGAATTATATGAATAGCAAAATCTATATTAACTTATTTTTTTCTAGCCAATGCTGCACCCCTTGTTCTGTTCCCCTACCCATTCCATACTGCATTAGCAAAAACATTAATGAGTGATACAGTGATACAGAAGCTGTGAATAGTGCTTCTAATGAACTTGTCCTATTTCTTGAAACAGGCATTTTTAGGCTATTTGCCAGAGCACATCTGATTGAGTGGGACGCTTGTGCGCTTGTTCTTACAGGAAACACAACCATCTTTGGAACCATACTTTTCCTGGTCTTTGGAAGCAATGATAATTTCAGTTGGCAGCAGTGGTTCAAAGGAATCGTTGAATTATTGGAAAATGGGCATTTTGTCATTTGTTGGCTATACAAACAGGAGATTGGACAATAATATTGAGTGGTACAGCAAACCTCTTGGGGGTGATACTAGGTACTCCCCTTTAACTTTTATTGTAATATTTTTACAGGGTCTTCCTAAAGGACTAAAAAGGTTTTTATCTCTTGGGGGTGGGGGGTAGGGAATCTAATGTTCACCAAAATATCCATACTCCAGAACAATATAAAGACCTTACATATTCACTTAAGTCATTATACTCCCATTTAGGTCACAGCAGAGGCAGTTCCCCTGCAACTGAAGGGTAGAACTAATTCAATGACAGAAACATATTAAATAAGAGAGAATAAAATGTTCTTCCAGAAAGAAACCCTTACATTTATGATCAGTTGATTTTCAACAAAGGTGCCAAGACCACTCAGGGAGAAATCGTCTTTTCAACAAATGGTGCTTGGACAACATACAAAAGAATGAAGCTGGACCTCTACTTTCAACCATATACAAAAATTAACTCAGGGCCAGCCAAGTGGCTCAGTTGGTTCAGAGTGTGAGCTCTGAGCAACAGGGTTGCTAGTTTGATTCCCACATGGGCCAGTGAGCTGAAATTAACCTAAGCTACCGCTGAGCTGTGAGAGCATGCGCTCTTAGCAGCAAGGTTGCTGGTTCGACTCCCACATGGAATGGTGGACTATGCCCTCTGGCAAGTGGTGACTGGACTTAGAGCTGAGCTTACGCCCTCCACAACTAAGACTGAAGGACAACTTGACTTGGAGCTGATGGGTCCTGGAAAAACACAATGTTCCCCTTCCCCAATTCCCCAACACTGTTCCCCTCCCCAATTCCCAATAAAAAGCTTTAAAAAAGAAATACAGCATACCTAATAAAAACTTGAATTTCTGATAAACAACAAATAAACTTAAAAAAAAAACACAGCAAGGGTAGGGCCAGAAAATACAAAGACCCAAAAAGCACTAGCTTGATCAGCAAAGATGGTTTCTGAACACAAAGGGGAGACTCAGCATGTGCTGGGGCCAGCAGGACAGCCAAGAAGGAGTGGTTCCAAGCCCAGACTGTGTGCTGCTGCCAAGAGAGACCTTGTAGGTCTTATCTCCAGTGACCAGCTCAATGTTGAGCAAAACTGTCTGGCATCCCGCCTCATTGCAGAAGTATCCCAAACATGGGATGAAGACATTTGGTACCTATAGTCCAATGACACAGTCCATTAAGATGCCCCATCTTGACTGAAAAATGGGAAGATGTTGAGTCTAGGAAGCAGAAGATACAACCCAGAAGAGCAAGAAGGGAAGCCGAGGTCCACTCCAGTTTGCAGAAAGAGGACTGAGAGCTCGAGGAGGGAGGTTTCCCAGGAAAAAAGTGGGGGTTTGAGATTTGATGCTATCTTTGGTAATTTGGAACAACTTCAAGGAGCAGAAAGGGCAGATAATGCAAGGAAAAAACAAAGACAGGAAATTCCAGAAAAGCAAATCGTGACAATGGCAATTGTATTACACAATATGTACATGTATCAAATCAACATGTACACCTTAAATTTACACAATATGTCAAATATATCTCAATTTAAAAAAGCAAACAGTTGACAAGAAAGGAAATATAATCACAGAATGTATAGGAAATATTTACAGTAATTTATTGCATAAAGTATGTTGGGAAAAGAGGTGAAGGGAATAGGGCTAGAAACAAAGCAGTTTCACAGCAGGATGCTCATAAATAATGTCTAAAATGAGCATATCAAGAAACAGCAATAAAGGATTTTTTAAAAAAGATTTTATTGGGGAATTGAGAGAGGGGAACAGCGTTGGGGAATCAGGGAAGGGGAACAGAGAGGTAGACAAATTGCTGTTTTTGTTCTTCAGTCTAGTTGTGGAGGATGTCGCTTCACTGTTACATGTTGGTATGATCATTGTGATCTTCCCGGGTGAGGCAATCAGTCGCCGGCCTCTGGACGGCCACTCACAGCGGCTCCCGGCAGCTCACACTGGCTGCTGGCCGCTCACGCTGGCTGCTGGCTACATACGGTAGCCCATGGCAACCCACTGCCACAGGGGCTGCAGCCTACGCTGTCGCCGGCGACTCACAGCAGCCCAGCTCCAGGTCGAGCTGTTGTTCATCATCTTAGCTGTAGAGGGCGAGTGTCACTGGCCCTCAATGTGGTATCCGAACCACAGCCCTACTGCTCACAGCTGGTGCTCCCAAGCGAGCTCTTAACCAGCTGAGCCACTCGACTGGCCCAAAAAAGGATATTTTTTAAATGAAAGCTCCAAAAGAAATGGCTAAGAGTTAAAAGCATATTCAAGGGCAGGCCAAGTGGCTCAGTTGGTTAAGAGCTCGCTCAAGAATTTGAGCTCTGAGCAACAGCGGTTTGATGCCCGGCCCGAGCTGAGTTGCCACTGAGCTGCCAAAAGTTGGCAGGATGGCTCAGCTAAAAAAAAAAAAAAAGTGTATTCAATTAGTTTGTGAAGATGAAAAGTTCTGGAGATGGATGGTGGTACTGGTTGGATAACAATGTGAGCGTACTTAATACCACTGAATTGTACACGTTAAAATGGTAACTTTTGTGTTATAAATTATCATAACAAATTTAATCACAATTTTTAAAAAAAGGAATGAATTGCTGATAACATGCTACATGGATAAATCTTGAAAACTCTTAAGTGAAATAAGTCAGACACAAAAAGGACAAGTATTGTATGGCTTCACTTATATGAGGTATCTAGAGAAGGAAGAGTCATAGAGACAGAAAATTAGAAATTACCAGGGGCTGGGGGAGAGCAGAATGGGGGAGAGATGACTGCATAATGAGTTCCAGGTTTCCTTCTGCAGTGATGAAAACATTTTGGAAATAGTGGTGATGGTTACACAACATTGTGAATATAATTAATGCCACTGAATTGTAAACATAAAAAATGGTTCAAGTGGTAAATTTTATATTCTATATATTCTACCATAATTGGAAAACAATCAATAATGTACTATACCCAAACCACTGAATACACTTTAAATGGGTAAATTGCACCCTGAGTGAATTATATATCAAAGCTATTAAACAAAGAAAAAGTTGTACATGAATGTTGAAACAACCCAAATGTCCAGCTCCATCAATGATGGATAAACAAAACAAGGTCCATCCAGAGGCTACCAGTTAGCTCAGGTGATTAGAGCACAGGCTCATAACACCAAGGTTGCTGGTTCGATTCCCACATGGGCCAAGGAGCTGTGCACCCCCCCCACACACACACACAGCTAGATTGAAGACAACTACTTGACTTGGAGCTGATGGGTCCTGGGAAAAACACACTGTTCCCCAATAAAATTTCTTTAAAACAACAACAACAACAAAAGTGGTCTATCCATACAATGGAATACTATTCATCCAGAAAAAGGAACAAAGCAGGACACAAGCTATAACATGGATAAACCTTGAAAACATTCTGCTCATGACAGAAGCCAGCCACAAAAGGACACACAGTGTATGATTCCATTTATAGTAAATATCCAGAAAAAGCAAATCCATAGAGACAGAAAGCAGTTATTGCCATGGGCTGCGGGGAGGGAAGCATGCGGGTTTCCTTTAGGGGTGATGAAAATAGTGACCACGGTAGCACATTGTAAAGGTACTAAATGCCACTGAATCGTAGTTTTTTTGTTGTTGTTTGTTTTTAGATTTTTATTGGGGAATTAGGGAAGAACAGCGTTGGGGAATTGGGGAAAGGGAACAGACAAGTTGCTGTCCTTTCATTCTTCAGTCTAGTTGTGGAGGACGTTGCTTCACTGGCCTATGTTGGTATTATCATTGCGATCTTCCCGGGTGAGGCAGATAAGTTGCCAGACACTGGACGGCCGCTCATGACGGCTCTTGACCGCTCACACCGGCTGCTGGCTGCTCACGGTAGCTTACAGGAGCCCACTGCAGCTCCACTGCAGCCTACGCCATCGCCTGCAACTCATGGCAGCCCAGCTCCAGGTCCAGCTGTTGTTCACCATCTTAGCTGTAGAGGGCACAGCGTCACTGGCCCTCCTGTGGGATCCGAACCGGGGCCCAGCTGCTCAAAGCTGGTGTCCCAAGCCAACTCTTAACCAATGCGCCACTCGGCCGGCCCTGAATTGTACAGTTTTAAATGGTTGATGTGTAACGGTTTGTGATGTATATTTTATCACAATAAAAAATTACGTATTGACTGGAAAGTGTGCACATCTTGTTTGGGGTGATGGTTAATACGATTGTATGCATTTGTCAAAACTCAGAGACTTTTCCCCAGAAGACCTGTGCATTTTACTGTATGTATAATACTCATTCAAATTAATAAAAGGAGTTGAAAGTAGTGGCCTCTAGGGAACAGGAGGAAAGGGTACAGGAAATTGCTTTTTTCATTACAAACCTTTTGTATCACTTTTTTTTTTAAACCAAGAGCATTCATTCATTTGGAAACATTTTTTATTTCTCCACTCCAATTCCAACCTACCCAAACACATTCCTTCACCCGCTGCTCCAATCCAGAGACTGAGGGAGCCAAGGAGTCGGGTGGGCTCCGAAGCTGTCGTCCAGACTGCAAGCGCCACCTGGCTTCTACCTCCTCTGTCCGCAGGGTAAAGGCAGGGTGTGCGACTTTCTGCAGGCACTGGAAACCAGATTCCAAATCCAGCTATTGGACGCACAGAGGGAAGATCGTCGGGGGCCACAATCCCCGGCTCCACCACAGACAAGATCCTCTAGCAGCGGTTCTCAACCTTCCTAATGCAGTTCCTCATGTTGTGGTGACCCCCAACCACGAAATTATTTTCGTTGCTATTCTATAACTGTAATTTTGCTACTGTTATGAATCATAATATAAATATCTTTTTGTGTTCCAATGGTCTTAGGTGACCCCTGTGAAAGGGTCGGTCCACCCCCAAAAGTGTCGCGACCCACAGGTTGAGAACCACTGCTGGATCCAGAGCCAGCAGCACGGTGATTTGAAGAGGCCCGCGCTTTTTTTCAAACGCTGGGCAGGTCCCAGGCTAAGCATAACACCGCTTCCTGCAATCCGGGCCAATCGCTACCGCTTCTGGTGCTTGGGGCCAATCGCCACCACTTCCGGCACTTGGGGCCAATCGCCACCACTTCCGGCGCTCGGGGCCAATCGCCACCAGTGCTCTGCCGGTGAAGGGAGGTGCTGGAAGCCAGTGGTCCGTCCATTTTTCTTGAAGGCATGAAGGCTCTCCGCGACCTCCCTCGCGCTCCCTCTCCTCCCGTAAAACCCACCTGCAACGGCCATTCTATTTGAGGGCAAGCTGAGGATGAGACCAGAGAAGCCAGGCAGGCGCCATGTTTGATATGATCAAGGATTAAGAGCAGTCGGTGACAACTGAAGCCAGGATGTCGCCATATTTTCTAAAGGCACCTTCCGGGTCCTTCAGCCCGGGTATCTATGGCCAAGAAGTGCATAAACACCGAGGGGGTTGGTTAGTCCCTATCAGAATCCCCGAATCCCTAGTAGCCAGTCCCTGCTACTTCGGTTCCCTCGGCTGCGCTCAGACGCCAAGTCTGGGAGGGGCTGCAGCCTGGGGACCCCTTCCTGCAGACGACGAAAGCTGAGCCGAGGGCGGGAGGCGGTTGCTGCGGGGCCAGGGAGGCCTCTGCCTGGGGCTGGGAGGCCCCATGGCGCCGCCCCCAGCCCCACTCCCGGCGCTGACAGCCGGGGAGACCCGGCCTGGTTGCAAGAAGCTCGGGGCCGTGAGCTTCGCGGAGGTGGCCGTGTACTTCTCCCCAGAGGAGTGGGGGTGCCTGCGGCCCGTGCAGAGGGCTCTGTATCGGGACGTGATGCGCGAGACCTACGGCCACTTGGGCGCGCTCGGTGAGGCCCGGGTGGGCCCCCCTCCTTCACTGGGGTTCAGACAGGAGATGATATAGAGGGACCCAGAGGATTGTGAGCCCTAATCCCAAACTACTCCACCAACAGAACCAGCCACCTCCTATTCCCAGGTACCCCCTTGGAAGTCCTTCCATCCCGAATCCGCTTCCTTCAGGCAGGAGCATTGAGACTGTCCAGGTTGAGCATAAGTTCTGAGGACGTGCCTCCACCTTGGCAGGGGGATGCCATCTTCCCAGGTCAGCCTCTCAGGCTGCCACTGTGATCCCTGTTCTCTCCCAGGATGCCCAGGCCCCAAACCAGCCCTCATTTCTTGGATGGAACAGGAGAGTGAGGCTTGGAGCCCCGCCGCCCAGGATCCAGAGGAGGGGGAAAGCATGGGAGGAGCTCTGAGAGGTGAGGGATTGTCCCAAGTCTCTCCTGACCAGGCGCTCCAGGGCTTCTGGTCTAGCACTGTTTTCTTTCAGATCCCCATTCCTAGCATCCCTAAAGGAATGAAAGAGCCACCCGATGTTGGATAATACAGGAGAAAAGAAGGCAGACCTGGTACAAAGTTTTCAGAACTTGGGACAGTCACAATGTTGAGGCCAGACTAGGAAAATCAGGAGCCCAAGTCCAATCCTCAGGTTTCCACATTCCTGTGGGAGGAAATCCTTTTCCAGGAACAACTAAAACCTCCTAAGAATGGAAGTGCCTTCAGATCCACCTTTCACATTCCTCAAGCAAAGTAAAGTAGTACATGACAAAATCCCAGTAATGGGCAACTTGGCTTTTCTCTCCCCATGGTCCTCTAGCAGAGTGATCTCCAGCGACTAGGATTCCTCATCTGTAAAAGGCTTACCCTACAAAAAATCGAGAAAACACAGTACTAATAGCTGCTGCTTATTAAGGGCTAATTACTTAACATGCTTCTACTGATTTAATCCTCCCAACAACCCTGAAAAGAAACCGTTATAATTCCCATTTGACACATGAGGAACCCAGGCCCAGATCAGTCACTCATTAGAAATCTGAACTCTGTTAACCGTCCTTTAAAGCCTGTGTGATAATCACTAGGCAGTACTTTTCTGGCACTTCCTTAAGTCAAAGCACCCTATAACCTGAGCCAGTCTAAGTAAATGTGTTTCAAAATGTAAGTTAATTCCTGTTTCTCAGGAGATGCCCCAAACAAGAAGGAAAAGGCACCGGAAGAAGGACCAGAAGCCAAGGGACGCAGAAAGACTCCTGGGAAGGCGAGGCCAGAAGAGCTGGTGAAACGCAACCCTGATTCGGCCATCAGCAAGGCCTCGGCAGGAGTACAGCCACCCATAAAAGCTGCGTGGGCCCAGAGCGCAGGTGCGCAGCCCCCGGACCTGGTACCCAGCGATGACGCTCAGGCCAGCCAGCGGCGCCATGTGTGTACAGACTGCGGCCGCCGCTTCACCTACCCGTCGCTGCTGGTCAGCCACCGACGCATGCACTCAGGTGAGCGGCCCTTTCCCTGTCCTGAGTGTGGCATGCGCTTCAAGAGGAAGTTTGCCGTGGAAGCACACCAGTGGATCCACCGGTCATGCTCTGGGGGGCGGCGGGGGCGGAGGCCCGGCATCCGGGCTGTGCCTCGCGCCCCCATGCGGGGCGACCGCGACCCGCCCGTGCTGTTCCGACACTACCCTGACATCTTTGAGGAGTGCGGGTGAGCAACTTCTGCTGGCGGGCTTGAGCCTGACGTGGCGCCAAGGACTGACCAGGCCCTGAGGGAGGCCCCTGAGTCAGGGACTTGGGAACCAGAATTCATCTTTTGGGCTTCCCTCAAGGTTCTCTCAAGTTTCCAAACTTGTAAAAAGGAAAGTGCCTGTAAAGATTCAAATAGATTAAACGTGATACCCCTCTCCCCAGTCTTTCTGAAAAAAAACGAGGAGTAAAATGCTGGACTTTTCTCAGTGTTATCTCAGAAGCAGGTGCAACCAAGATCTTTCCATTGTCTAAAAAAAAAATAATAATAAAAACCAACAACACCCTTGCTGCTTATCTACAGGATTGGGAAATGTTGAGGGGAGCTAAGGCCTGGGGAGGGGGTCCAGATGGAGGCCATGGTCAAGCCCTGGCTAACTGACATGAGCAGGGAGCCTGGGAAATGAAATGGGTGGAAAGAGTACAGGAGCCCAGGCACAGAGCTAGTCTCTGCTACTTGCCCCAGGACACAGCTGGTGGTCACAGGCCCTCCAAAGCCTCACTCCCTCCCTCCTGTGTAAAATAAGGATTATCTGTATCTACCTCAAAGGAAAGGGTTACTGTGAAGACTGACATTTTAACAAGATAGTATGTATGCACAGTAAATGTGCAATAAATGTGTTGAAAGAGTGAATTATCAACATTTACCACTTCTGAAAGTGTAAAGAGCCTGCTAAGGAGTCAGGGCATGGATATCAATAGCCATGTTTTGCAGATGAGTAAACAGGCTCGGAGAGATGATGTGATTTTTTCAGTTTCACTGCTTTAGGGCAGCAAAGCTGGAAATTGACAACAGAGCAGAGCCCAGATATTTCTACCACATCCTCTGAGCAGTCCGATCTGGACAGAACATGGGTCAGGGTCTCAGGTGAGGATGAGGTGGGAACAGATGTGGACAGGAAGCCAGTGGGAGAGCAAACACCAGGAGCTGCAGAGAAGATTTTGTAGTCCTTAGTCCCCAGCCAGAGTGGCCTCCCCTTGGGGCTAGGGGTGGCTCCTCAGGACTCAGGGCCCAGCCCTGCCTGCCTGGGGGTCTCAGCAGGAAGCTGAAAGCCCCACCAAAGGCAGTGACCTTTCACTTAGAAAGTGCAGTCAACATTCAAAGACCTGATGGAGAGAGTGCTGGGTGGTAAAGGGATTTCAGCCAAGGAAGGCTGACCCCATTCATTCGTTCAGCAGACACCATCTGGAGCCCCTGTGGGTTTTTTTTTTCCCTTTTATATGTGTGTGTGTGTATATATATGTATGTATTTTTTTTAAATTAGTTTCAGGTGTACCCCTGTGGGATTTTGTGCTGGGCTCCAGGGACACGCTAACTTGGAAGAGTGTGATTGGGGCTGTGACGAAGTAAGTCCAGAGCACCACCTAACCCATCCTGGTTGGTGATACACCAGGAAATGCAGCTTGGAGAGGAGATGGTTGTGCCTCCCATAGCTTTAAGTAGGAACTGGTGTGTGGGGAGGTTTTCAGGCAAAGGGAGCAGCAAGGAAGCCTTGTTTGATAGAAAGGATAAAAAATGGACAGTATGGAGTAGGGACTAAGAGCATGGGCTCTGGAGTCAGACTGTCTGGGTTCAGGCCCTGACTCCCCTGTTTTCTAGCTGTGCAATCTTGGACAAGCCACTTCTTACCCCTTGTCACCTCTCTGTGCCTTAGTCTCTTCATCTATAAAACCTGGGTGATAATAGCACCTACCTCATAAGATTGATGTAAGGATTAAATGCGATAACAGAGGAGAGTGCCTTGCATATCAGTATCTAATAAACATTGGTGATTGTTATTACTGTAATACAATACAAAGTAGTATGTGAGGAGTACCAGGAGGAGACTTGGGCAGGTCTTCTGAATCACAGAAGGCTTCCTGGAGGAAGTGATGCAACATGGCCTTGAAGGATGAGAACGATTTCAACCAGGACAGGCATGTATAACAAATGGTCAGTGGTTCTATTTGACTGAAACATAAAAACTAGGTAATGAATGATGAGAGACAGGTGCAGCAGAGAGGTGGGTGCCAATTCAGAAGGGCCACAGGTCCCAGCAGAGGAACACAAGTTATGCCCCCTAGGTATGGAGGAGCCATAGAAAGTTTTCGAGCAGGAGCAGGGCTGTTTGACAGGTACTGTCAGATATGTCCTTGTAAAACAGTGTGGAGTGTGACCTGTGGGAGGATACTGAACACCAGAGATCTCTTGGGCATCTGATTCCAGAGGCGGTCAGGAGTTGGGATCAAGCTAAAGAGCAAGACTTTCTGGCAGTTGTTCTTAGTTCCTGACCTTGGAATTGGGAAGAATGGAAGGTTTTGGCCACAGAAGCTGCGTGGCTCAGTGACTGACAATATGAGCGGTGAACAAGCAAGTCCCAGAGGTTTCAAGTGTGGAGAGCCAGAGCAAGGGAGCAGTCAGGAGTGGGAGGGTGTGAAGGCCAATGCTGCATTCAGCGCAGCTAGTTGAACGGGCTAGAGGGGGGGTGACGGAGGATTAAGAAAAGACAGGGCCGGCCGAGTGGCTCAGTTGGTTAAGAGCTCGCTCAAGAGTTTGAGCTCTGAACAACAGCGTCCCTGGTTTGATTCACGGCCCGAGCTGAGCTGCCGCTGAGCTGCCAACAGGTGGCAGGATGGCTCAGCTAAAAAAAAAAGAAAAGAAAAGAAAAAAGACAGACAAAAAAGTACTTGAAAGTAGGGGCTAGGTAGATAGCTATCTCCTGATGGGAGGACAGTGACCCAGTCTAGCAGCCATGGTTTACTTATATAGCCTTGCTTATGAGGGGGGAGGAAAGGGGAGGAGAAAGTTCCTTGTATTGGCTGTGGGATGTTTTGCACCCAGTGTATCAGAACTCAGGATGTTTTATCACCAATGTACTGAAACCATCTCCTATGCTGAGATGCTGTGTCAGCCTTGCAAAAACACAGCCAGAGAGTGTGCCTTGCACTAACCTCTCCTTTACAGCTCCAGAAGGTGGTCTTGGTCTCCGGCAGGCCAAGGGTGACCAGTCCTAGAGATGGGGAGTCAAAGAGAAGGTGGAACTGGAGAAAGGAAGTACCCCTGGTGGTGGGGCGTGGGGAGGGGAGCAGAACCAGGCAGTGTGTCAAGCACAGTGCTGTCCAGGGCAGCAGGAGGCACGGTGGTCGGCTGTGCGCTCTCATTCTCAAGTATCGATTTAACAGGTATCTAGTAAGCATTTACTAAGTACTGGGTACTGCTTTCAGTGTCAGGATAGCAGAGAAAACCTAGGAGTCCTCTCCTATGGAACTCACATTTGAATAGGGTGGGGAGGCAAGTGATAAGTATATAAAACAGGGTACTCCTTAATTTCAAATCTGTAAAAGAAACTGCAAAACCGTTATTCTCGGGAGCATTTCAAATCTTGCTTCTGGCATATGTCCTCAGTTTGGCCCAAATCAACTCTTATAACAGTTCTCTACAGGTTTGGATGTTTCTTACGTTGACACCATGTGTTTCTTCCTCAAGGAGTGGGGGTGTTTGCAGCCCGCGCAGAGGGCCCCTGACAGGGACGTGTCGGGGGAGACCTACCAGCCACCTGGGTGTGCTCAGCTCCGTGGGGTCTGGTTGTCCTTGATCTCTGAAAAGGGAAGGGGGCAGGTGGGATGGGCCGGGCAGGGGCATTGGCCCCGCTCCTATCCCGGGTGACTGTTTTCCTGGGATCCCTGCCAGATCAGCCTAACTGAAATTCACAACCGAGAGTCCCTGGCCAGACTCCTCCAGTGGTTCTCCATGACTTCCTGCCAAACTTTCAGAACCTGTGCAACAACACAATGGCCCATGGCATGCTAACCTCCAGTTCAAACCACATCTCTCCCTGCAAGCAATCAATCCTACTTGGCCCCAGCTAAATGGAGTCTTTACTTTGGGGATATGCCTCTAGCTTAATGAGCCCTCGCTCTTGCTGTCCTGCCCTGTATGCACTACACCTCCAAGTCGAACATCCTTCAGTACCCTTCTCGAATGCTGTCTCCAGGAAACTGCTCCTGCAGATCTTCTGCCCTATGCTGGAAGTCTCCTCCAAGCGTGGCTCTGTGTCCACCTCTGTAGCCCCGAGTGCATTCTGCCCAGAGGTCTCCATACCTGGGCCGCTGGAGCTCACACCTGGTATCTCTCTCCCTTAGTGTAAGCTTAGAACAGTAACCTTATCTTGGTTCACCAATGGCTCCAACACCTAGAACATCTAGAACAACGCCTGACACCAAGAGGTGCCTGACATGTTTTCATTGAATGAATACATAGTCTTAATGCTGAGTAGTTAGGGTTCTTCCCCAGGATTTCCAGACCCCAAACCAGCCCTCATCTCCTGGGTGGGGCAGGAGGCCCAGCTGTGGGGTGCATGATACCTGCTCAGGATCTCCAGGAGGGAGGAAGACTGAGAAAGACAGAAAGGTGAGAAGTGGGGGCAATGCCCCGCTTCCAGCTGGAAGGGAATATGTTTTGTTGAGCAAGAAACATTCTCTAATTGTTCCTAATTTTTGCTGAGCTGAATCTATGACACACACTGGAGACTAAAATCTTGACCTTCTTGTTTTCACTTAATTGACTTTGAGGTACCCAGTGGTCCCATGATCAGGTCACACTGTCCGAGTCATCCAAACGCTAGGTCAGGGGCAGTGTGAAGTCAAGTTTAGGAGGAAGCAACTCACCTTCCGTCTCCAGATCCCTGGACCCTGTAACAGCCACTCCTATGGTTGGGGGGTATCTCCTCTGCTTGGTCCTAAGGTGGGTGGGAATGTCCCCGATCCGTGAGCCCCTCAGTTGGCCGACACAGTCTAGGGGGTGCTTCCAGGGGCTAAGCACCCATGTGAATGCTTCTGCCACTGTGAAAGTTGATTCTGTCACATGAACATGAATAGACCTTGAAGGATTAACAGGGCAAGTTTTGAATCTGCTACGTTTCACGACAGCCACTCAGAAAAACAATACATTTGGAAAGGGCCAGGAAAAGAAATCTATCTGGGTGTCATCATGAGCTCCTGGGATCAGAAACACTGACCTGGCCTCTGTTCCTGGGATCAGAAACACTGACAAGGCTCTCTGTAGCCAGGTCTCTCCCACCCCCGCCCCCCACCCCTTCTGCGTCCAGCCTCAACACCTGGCACTCAAGCAGCGCCTGCCTCCATGGGCCCCAAGTGGTCATGCTTTGCCATCTCACCACCAATACACTCTGGAGAGAGACCCTGTGCTTACGGCTAGTGCAGTCAGTACCTGGTTCCGCTACAGCAGCTACTGCTCATGCTACCTGCTGACTTACATACACAAAGGGTCCTCCTGTCCCCACTGTGGAAGATGCTTCAACCAGAGGCCCACCAGCCTAGTGCGAGAGGCCCCAGAGGCCGACCCAGGGCACAGACCCTAACACGGGTTATCCCCAGGAGGGTCCAGACACCCCTGTAAATTTCCAGCACTACCCAGAGCTATCTCGGGCCTGTGTCATAGGAACCCACATGAGGGGTGGGCACTGACAGGTGACAAAATGCTATTGATCTTAATGGAAATGTCCTGTTTTCTCGTGTCCTTCAGGGGCCTGAGAGGCTGGCAGAGCTAGGGCTGGGATTGAGTCCCGGGGCAACCCTGCGTCCTTACTCTTTCCAGACTTTTTGTCTTCTCCTTCCCCCTTTCTGCTGTGATCAGCTCTTTACTTGTCCAGCTGTCCTGGCTGTGGAGAGAAGCATCCACCACAAGGGGTCAGGCGGAAGCCTCAGGAAGGCTTTGGAAGGGGGTACATAGAGAAAAGGTCCAGACCAGAGCCCAAGCCCGCTGAAGACGTGAAGTGCATTTCCAGGAAGCATGGGACGGGCCGTGATTGACTTAGCCCAGGCAAAGCATCATGTCTCCTTCAGGAAGGGTGTTTATGAATGTGTGTGAATGTGCCCAGTGAGAGGGGGAGGTTTGGAGGTAGAAATGATGAGGAGAGTTGGTGCCATTTGCTGAAATAAAGACGCCAGGAGGGGCCTTTTGGGGGAAGAAAGGGATGAGTTCTAGTTGAGCCATGCCCAATCCGACGAGCTTGTGAGTCGTCCATGCCGGGATAAGGTGGCAGGTGGCTCTGTCATGAAGAGGAGCTCGGGAGCCAGGCTTGAGGTAGAGGCAAATAGATATGGGGGAGGCGTGTCTGCAGGGGATGTGGGGGGGAAGGTGAGCTTGCAGAAAGGGGCCATTATTTTTTATAAAGTTTTTATTGGGGAATTGGGGGAGGGGAACAGCGTTGGGGAATCAGGGAAGGGGAACAGACAAATTGCTGTCCTTTTGTGTTCTTCAGTCTAGTTCTGGAGTATGTGGCTTCACTGGCCCATGTTGGTATCATTGCGCTCTTCCTGGGTGAGGCAGATCGGTTACCAGCCACTGGACAGCCGCTCATAGTGGCTCTTGGCAGCTCACGCTGGCTGCTGGCCGCTCACGCCAGTTGCCAGCCACTCAAGGTAGCTTATGGCAGCCCACTGCAGCCTATACACCATCGCTGGTGCCTCACCACCACAGCCCAGCTCCAGGTCCAGCTGTTGTTCACCATCTTAGCTGTAGAGGGCGCAGTGTCACTGGCCCGCATGTGGGATTCTAACTGGAGCCCTGCTGCCAAGAGCTACCATCCCAAGCCAATTCTTAACCAACCTGCGCTGACTCTGCCGGGAAAGGGGGCCTTTCTGATCTCTCAGATCTTACCCTACCCTCCTCCAGCTGCCCCCGCAACCTGCTGAAATAGAAGCCCTCAGAATTTCAGGCTCGAACAAACTTCCAATAGAGAAGGTTCTCTTTCATCCACTACATTTTTTTACCCTCAATGTTGGATAAAGGCTGCTGTCACCCAGTGATGGGCCAAGCCCAATTATAAACGTCCTGGCCACAAAATATGACGTCCCAATTCCCAAGGGCGGGGCGGAGCAGGCCGGGTCAGGGCTGGAACAGCGATGGTCAGGCACTGACCTCCCGCCGCTTCAGTCAGTCCTCCAGACCCGGGCGGGGCGGGGACCCGCGCGGAGACGTGGACCCGCGCGGGGACGTGGTGGCCCGCTGCTCCGCCCAGGCCACTGGCTCCCGGGCGGGGCGGGGCGCCTGCTCCCTCACTGGTAGCCGTGGCGGCCATCTTGGCTGAGGGCGGGCGTCCCAGCAACCCGGAGACCGAAGCGGGTGAGGGGGTGGGCCTCATCTGAATCAAACCGCGTCAGAACCAAGATCGTGAGGTCGTGTTGCCGCCATCTCTTGGGGAGGCGTCCTCCACTCCTGATTGTGTGTCCCTCCAGCCACGAACTCAGTTTTTAGCCCCCGGTGTGGGCCCTGGAGAAGCCGCTTGCTGCGCCCAGACCCTCGGGCCCGCTGGGCAGGTAGTCCCGATCACGTGAGGCCCCGCGGAACCTGAGGCCGCTCTGGCTCGTCGCCGGGGCAGACACTTACCATGGCGCCGCCTCCGGCCTTGCTCCCCGCGCAGGAACCAGATGGGGCCGCGCGCGAGGGGAGGAGACCCGCGCCCGTGAGCTTCGCGGAGGTGGCCGTGTACTTTTCTTCGGAGGAGTGGGGGTGCCTGCAGCCCACGCAGAGGGCTTTGTACCGGGACGTGATGCGCGAGACCTACGGTCATCTGGGCGCGCTCGGTGAGCGCCCTACAGCTCGCAAGAGCGCACATCCCGCCCACCCTGTCCAGCCTCGGGGCCCTGCACGAGGAATGGGGGGCCCTAAGTCCAGGACGTTGAGACCGCGGGGGTGGGGGTGGGAGCGGCTTGGAGTCGGCGTTCTTCTCCCCCAGGATTCCGAGGCACCAAGCCCGCCCTCATCTCCTGGGTGGAGGAAGAGGCCGAATTGTGGGGTCCAGATGCCCGAGATCCGGAGATGGGAGAATGTCTGACAGAAGCAGACACAGGTGAAGTACTGGGGGCTCCGTCTCATGGGGACTGACCCCTCTACCCTCTGCCAGCTCCTTACCATCATCAGTCTTTTCTCTGAATTGTTTTCGCAGCTAAGGTGATTATGCCTACCTAGGTCCTGCCTAGTCTCTGGATTTAGCCTAGAAAGGGGCTGTGGTGTGACTAGACTCTGCTGGGGTGCGGGTCCCTGGCACACCTGCCTCTCCACTCCCAACTCCTGCAAATCAGAGCCCCTCCTGTCAAGTTGTTTTCAAAGCTCTGCTGAGCTCCACATTACCCTTCCTGTTTCTCTGCGTCTCATTCCTCTGCCACCTCATGTGTTGTTTTAGTTTACTTTCTTTTTTGTTATATTTTTGTAGCAGCCTCCTCTCTTTTGGCTTCCAGCGTTTTCTTCTTCCAGCTTGTCCTGTCAACCTGTTACAGAATGCCCAGCCCCTCTGAACTTGTTGAGGCCAGACAGGTTCATGGCTCTCTTGGTGCTGTTTCTGCTGTCTGAAGCATCCTTAAGCATCCACCCATCTCCATGATCCAGCTCAAATGTCATCCCCCTCTCCCTCAGCCTTTTCCCCACCCCTGAGGTGGGGTGGAATGCCCTGTTCCTTCCTACTCTCTCTGCTGCTTTTCTTTCTGTTCTCTGCAGCTGAGGAAAAGGTGTCACACTTACCTTCCCTGCTTATGCAGAGCTGAGTCCCAGAGGCAGCTATGGGTCCAGAAGATGGCTATATCGAAGAGGCTTCTCTGTCACCCTATGGGGTGTGGGATTCAAGGACCAAGATAAGCCAGGACCTGAGTTCTGCCTTTATCTACCAGCAGATTCCAAAAACAAAGAAGAGAAAGGACAAAGAGGAGGGACTGAGGCCCCGAGGAAGATCCTTTCTATGGATGCACTGCCTTGTGGGCTGAAGGCTCTTAAGCCCCCTTCTGCCCGGCTCCCTTACAGTTTGGAGCAGCCCCCCAAGGTCCCTCGCCGGGGCCGCCCCCCACTCTGCGCCCATCCCCCTGTTCCGAGGGCCGACCAGCGTCATGGCTGCTACATGTGCGCAAAGAGTTTTGCGTGGCGCTCCACCCTGGTGGAGCACCTGTACACGCACACGGGCGAGAAGCCCTTCTGTTGCCCTGACTGTGGCAAAGGCTTCAGCCAGGCCTCCTCTCTGAGCAAGCACCGGGCCATCCACCGTGGGGAGCGGCCCCACCGCTGCCTGGACTGTGGCCGGGCCTTCACCCAGCGCTCTGCCCTCACCACCCACCTCCGGGTCCACACGGGGGAGAAGCCCTACCGCTGTGCTGACTGTGGCCGCTGCTTCAGCCAGAGCTCGGCCCTCTACCAGCACCAGCGGGTCCACAGCGGCGAGACCCCCTTCCCCTGCCCAGACTGTGGCCGTGCCTTTGCTCACGCCTCCGACCTGCGGCGCCATGTGCGCACCCACACAGGGGAGAAGCCCTACCCGTGCCCGGACTGTGGGCGCTACTTCCGGCAGAGCTCTGAAATGGCGGCGCACCGGCGTACACACAGTGGGGAACGCCCCTATCCCTGCCCTCAGTGCGGCAGATGCTTCAGCCAGAAGTCAGCCATGGCCAAGCACCAGTGGGTCCATCGTCCTGGGGCTGGAGGGCGCAGGAGCCGGGGTCCCAATGGATTGCCCAGGACCCTGGCTCCTGGCCAAGGGGACCTGGACCCACCGGTGGGCTTCCAGCACTACCCAGAGATATTCCAGGAGTGTGGGTGATGGCCTCAAGGTGAAAAGACAAAGGGGGAAGATCTAGACATTGCATGAGACCCAAGCTGGGTTGGGTGCTAAACCTCTGTGGTGGTTCCAGGAAGGTCACAGAATTCCCTGCGCGAGCTGCTGGATGAGAACCATCTTGTTTTAGGCCCTCACCAGCTTGACCTGCTGGCATTTTCCTCCCTCCTGTCCCAGACTCTAGAAGCCTCCTTTGCTGAATTAGGGCTGAGGTAAGCACCCCTGGTAGACCTCTGCTGTGTGGAAGAAAAGGCTGTTTCTCCGCTTAGAGATGCTGAGAGGATTAAGGTAGAGGGGAACCTTGATTCACCCATTGCCTTCTTACTGCAGAAGTTCATAACTGATGGCTATGTACTGAATCAGGCTTATAGCTATCTTTTTTTATTTTTATTTTTTGGCCCAGCTAGCATTTTAAAATGTTAACAAATGATTAGTTAAGATTTCACACAAAAATCCAGGTTTTTGGCTGCTCTTGAAAAATCCAAAGATTTGGCAACTCGATCGAAGCTCCCACAAAACCAGTTGGCAGGAGGTGGGGGCAGCTGCCCCCTTTGGATGGAGCTGGAGCCTGTGCTCTCCAGTTCGGCATGCCCGCCACTCCTTATCAGCTCCTGACAAAAGTCAGCTGGAACTCATCATGGCTTGGCTAGGTCTCTGGCAAAGCAGGCTCTCTCCATCTGGTATTTTCCACTCATTTACATGACCTGTTGGGCTCCTGTGGTCATCGGAGTTTTGCAAACTATGGTCTACAGCATTCAAGTTTTCCTGAATCATATTCAGATAGAGAACATTATATATATTTGTGAAAAGGTGGCAGGAGTGAAGTAAAAGCAAGCTTTATTTTAGATCTTGCTTGCATTGCATTTTATGGTTGACAAAGCACTGTCTTGTCCATCCACCCACTTCATCCTCAGAACTGCCTGAGGAAGGGAGCACCTTGCTTGGAGAGGAGAGCCCCGTCAAGAAGAGGCAGTCAGGATGGAACCTTTTGCCCCAAACCAGTGGCATGTCTGCCATACCACAGCACTGCTCTCAGCTGATGGCACTTCTTGGTTTTGAAGGGGAAGGCCCTCCAAAAGGTCACCCTCCAGTCCTTCTTGGGCCTCCCTGGGAGCTCTATGGCTCAGGCCTCAGCCACCCAAGATCCAGCCTGGAAGAGATCCGAGCTTTGCCATCCTTTTGCAGTTGGGGACACTGAGACTGGGGAAGGCTAAGTAACCTGTCCAAAGTCACACACAGATGGCTGGATTCTTGGTGTACAGCACTCTTCACCACACCATTCCCGAATTTCTTGCCAGTGTCTCAGCCAGAGTTCTGGAGGCATCTGCCCACTCCCTCTGAGGGCACCCAGGCACTGACCTGGACTGAGAACAAACCAGCTCAGTGTCACTGAAGCCCAGGTAAAAGATGAGAGACAAGACAGTCACATAGCAGACCAAGGCAAGGGTGGAACCAGCCTGAGAGGAGAGTTCAGGGCAAACATGGGTTTGTGGTGGGTCCCTACCATCACAAACCAATGGGAACTAGGCCAGGAATATTTGGGGTTAGTAGCCAGAGGGAATTGTACTCATCTATATCCTCTGCACAGAATCTCCCTTTCACCTCGAGACTCCATTATCCATCTATCACTAATTCCTTTGTGGTCAGCCCAGCCTTGGCCATGTGATAGAAGCAGCCAGCCATGGACAGACTCTGTCCTGCCTCCAGTCAGGATGACCTTCACCTCAAGGAGTGGCAGCAGGGGTCATGCCCTCTGCTGGCCCTGTACACTTGCCTCCTTTACCCAACCTAGCCCCGTGTCTTGAACTGACTTGATTTTAATCTTCAAATCTGAGCCCACCACGATCTCCCTTATGCTAAGCTTTTCTGGGAGGATTGGCTTGTGGGCCAATAAGTGGGACATGGTGTAAGAAGAGGCACCTTGGCTGTGGCAGCGACCTTTGTACCAACTTGTAATTCCCTAGAGAAGCCAGTGTACAAACCACCCCCTCCCTTAACCCTGAGCTCTGCCTGGGAAAAGCCCAGCTTGCATACCGGTTCTCAGCTCAAGACTCAAAGCTAGATCAGGGCCCACCCAGGCCTGAGCTTTCCAATTAAAGGTGCCACCGTTACTGCCTTCTTTGAGTGCTGTGAAGTTTGCAAGACTTGCTCAGGGCCAAACACCAGACCCAACTCTTCTTCCTGCCTTTGTGACCCAACTTTCCTCCATTAAATCAATTTTGGGTGTGTAGGGAAAAGAAAGTTGGTCAGGCTCCCTCACCTGGCCATCCAGTGGAGCTGCCATAGTTACCTGCTAGGTGTAGAAAATGGAATGTTGCACAGACACTTTCCATCCTGATGATGACACTGTTTGTGTATTCTTACATAAGCACTTTGGCTATGAGCCACCATTGTCCCAGCATAGTGTAGAGCCCCGGCCACTGTACAAGGCAGGTGGTACCTAGAGAGCCAGTGAATAAAACATGTCTACTCTGCTTTCGACTCCATGCATCTTCCAGCTCCCAGAGTTGTGGGCACCTTACACTAGGGCCACCATGCTCTCAGACACCTGGCACATCAAGCAGGGTCCCGGACAGGTAAGGAAGCCATCCGCCCCTGGACAGGAGGATGTGGCCACCACACAGTGTGTGGTACCTAGTGGCCACTGTTCTCATGAGGTGGGCCCCTGTGGAGGGGTGGGAAGACGTGGATGGCTTTCTGGCCAGCATAGAAAAAGCCTTGCAAGCTTTAAGTGAACAGCTGCTGGCTGGAGAAAGGGAAGGTTTATGCTGGCCGTGTGGGCTGAGTGTTTCTCACTGCCCTGCACCACAACATGAAGGCAGCACTTGCTGAAACAGCCCAAATGCAGGACTTGTAGTCCCAGGAGGAAGCGCTGGAGGCTTGGGTTCGCCAGCTAGAAGGGGAGTTCTGCAGTGGTGGGTCTGAGGCAGAGGCCCCTCCTGAGTCCCGTGCAGAAGACACGGGTAAGGCCGAAATCATCCCTCACCCCCAGGTTCTGCCCATCATACATCAGAAGGTAAAACATGAACCACCTTTGCATTGGGGCGTTGCTGCCGGCAACCCAGTGGTGACTGAGTTCACAACCTATATCCCCTACACTCCCACTGAGTTACTGGAATAGGGGAAGCAGTGCCGACAACACCCTGGGGGGCTGGTCCCGGCTTGGTTACTGCGTTTGTCAGATGAGGGGACAGACAGCATCATCTGCTCAGCAGGCAAAATGGAAAAACTAGCCTTCGTAACGGTACAGCCATCCCTGCAGCAGTGGTTGAAGAACAGCCGCCAGCTGGCCCAAGGCCAGGGTAACCATTCCTTAATGGAGTGGCTCACTGCTGCAGTGCACACTGTGGGAGGATGCAGGTGAGCTGCCAGACTGTTAACAAATGGCACTCATACACTGAACTTGTTCAAATTATCCGTGAAATGGGTATGAAACATGCTATGTTTGACCTTAACACGTGAGGGCCAGATGATGAGCGGTTTATGGCCAGCATGAGAGATTTGGTTTTAGATATGGTCCCCACAAGTGCCTTTAGATCATTGGCCGCCATCCTTATGCCCTATGTTGGGCAGTGGATCCACGAAGTTACCACTGCCATGGCCACCCTGGGAGATGTTGAAAGCCGGAGACAGGAGAAGTTAGGACGCGAGGTCTGTGAAATCACAACCAGGAAGCCCAAAGCAGAAGCACGGAGGTGAACCCGAAGGCCCCAAAAGTTAATGCGAACACAAATGTGGAATGACCTCATAACGGCGGGGGTCAATTAAAAAAAAAATAGACTGACAACCCAACACGGTCTTGTTGGAACTTTGGAAACAGTTGCGTCCGGAGCAACAATTCCGGCAAAACCCCAAGGGGAAGTCCAGGAAGGCACGACCTGTGATCCTCCAAAAATTCATGCGACTACCTGAGGTCAGCTCCTTCCAGTTTGACTAGGGGAGGGGCCAAGGTACCCGGTCAGAGGGGACAAACAGGGACCGGAGGCCCCATGTGAAACTGTCCATACATTGGTCCCCTTCTAACGTGCAAAGGGTTCTGACCCTGGTTGACACTGGCGCAGACTGCAGCCTTATTTACAGGAACCCAGAACGGTTCCCTGGACCAGCAATCTACATTGACGGCTACGGGGGTTAAGGTAAAAACTGTCTCCTTGCCACTGGGTATAGGTAGACTTCTCCCCACCCCCATACCTACACGGTGTATGCCTCCCCCATACCGGAATATATTCTAGGAGTGGACGTGTTACATGGCCTTAGCTTACAGACTTAAGAGAGTTTCACCTTCAAGTCTGGGTGGTGAAGGTGGTGGTACGCGGACATGCTCACCACCCCCTTCAAGTGTTGCTGCGGCCCCAGCACGTGGTTCCAGTGCTACAGTACTGCCTGCCAGGGGGACATGAGGAGATTGGCCACATATTAGAACTGAAAAAGGCACACATCGTGAGGCCAACGCACAGCCCTTTAATTCACCAGTATGGCCAGTAAAGAAGCCTGATGGGACCTGGCGAATGACTGTGGACTATAGGGAACTGAATGAGGTGATGCCACCTTTGCATGCTGCAGCACCTTCAATCCATGATTTGATGGACCACTTGACTCTTCGCCTGGGAACTTACCACTATGTGGTGGACCTGGCGAACGCCTTTTTCTCTATTGACATTGCGCCTAAGAGCCAGGAGCAGTTTGCTTTTACTTGGGACGGGCATCAATGGACCTTCCAATTCCTCCCACAAGGATATTTACACAGCCCCACTGTTTGCCATGGGTTTGTAGTCTAGGATCTGGCACAATGGGACCACCCATCCTCTGTAGCCCTGTTTCACTATGTTGATGATGTCTTACTAACTTCTGATGCTCTTTCAGATTTAGAGCAAGCAGCTCCCTCTCTCCTCTGCCACATGAAGCCATATGGCTGGATGGTGAATGAGGATAAGGTACAGGGCCTTGGCTTATCTGTCAAGTTTTTGGGTGTTGTTTGATCAGGTAAGACAAAGGTTATACCAAAAACTATTATTGATAAAATGCAGGCATTTCCCCGGCCGGCCTAAGTCTCCCAACTACAAATGTATTTGGGCCTGCTGGGGTATTGGCAGGTATTTGTATGCCATTTAGCACAGATAGCAAAACCCTTGTATCCCATGAAAAAAAGAGTGCCCCATGGGATTGGACAGAGGCTATAGACCAAACATTTGTTGCTGTAAAATGGGCAATACAGGAGGCACAGGATGTACAAGTGGTAGATCCTGGTCGCCCATTTGAACTTGATGTTCACGTAACCCAAGAGGGGTATGGTTGGGGCCCCTGGCAATGACAGGAGCGTCTCTGGTCTCCAGTAGGGTTTTGGTCCCAATTGTGGAAAGGAGTGGAAGTCCACTATTCTCTGATAGAGAAGCAATTGGCAGCTGTGTATGCGGCTTTGTTGGCTACAGAAGCCATCATAGGGACGGCCAGGGTGTTGGTTCACACAACCTATCCCGTCCAATGTTGAGTTTGTCCAATGTTGGACCCAAGGACCAAAAACAAGGGTGGCGCAAACCACCACCCTCGCCAAATGGAGGGCCTACTTGGAACAACGTAACACCCTCAGTTTAAGCCCCCCCCCTTTTTTTAAAAAGATTTTACTGGGAAATTGGGGGAGGGGAATAGCGTTGGCGAATCGGGGAAGGGGAACAGACAAGTTGCTGTCCTTTTGTTCTTCAGTCTAGTTGTGGAGGACGTTGCTTTACTGGCCCATGTATCATTGCGCTCTTCCCGGGTGAGGCAGATCGGTCGCCGGCCTCTGGTCGGCCACTCACGGTGGCTCTTCACAGCTCACACTGGCTGCCAGACGCTCACGCTGGCTGCCGCCCACACACAGTAGCTTATGGCAGCCCACTGCAGCAGGGGCTGCAGCCTACACCATCGTTGGCAACTCATGGCAGCCCAGCTCCAGGTCGAGCTGTTGTTCACCATCTTAGCTGTAGAGGGCAGTGTCACTGGCCCCCATGTGGGATCCGAACCAGGGCCCTGCTGCTCAGAGCTGGCGTCCCAAGCCAGCTCTTAACCAATGCGCCACTCGGCTGGCCCAGTTTAAGCCCTTTGAGCGCAGAGTTATAACAAGTCCTGGGGCCTATTGAGCTCATAGCCCAGGCCATGCCAAGCGCTCTACCCACTGGGGAGGTCTTTGAGCCCTCACCCTACAGGGAAGGACAGCCCCCAGTACCTGAAGATGCCTGATATACTGATGGCTCTTGCCAGGGGACCACCGCCGTATGGATGGCTATTGGAGTCCAGTCCAAAACAGACACCATTCGGTTTGATACTGGGGCGGGCCAGAATAGCCAATGGGCCAAGCTATGGGCTGTATAGATGATAATCAGCCCTGAGCCTGGGTCCCTGGTCATCTGTACAGATAGCTGGGTGGGGTTCTGGGGCCTAACGTTGTGGCTCCCCACATGGAAACATCAAAACTGGCTAGTAGGACACCATCCGCTGTGGGGCCAGCCCATGTGGCAAGACCTCTGGGACCTAGGGCAAGGAAAGGAGGTGATCCTGATGCATGTCACGGGTCACTCCCCCTTAACGTCCCCAGGCAACTATGAAGATGCCTTGGCGGTCAGAATGGGCCCCTACCACTGATGGATCACTGATGTGGCCCACTGGCTACAGAGAAAGTTACATCACTAGTAGCAGAACCATGTGACAGGTGAGCAGACGCTGGGGGCTGCCCTTGAAGTGGCGGAAGATAGCAGATGCCTGCCATGACTGTGCCATCTGTTCTTAGGCCAGTCCCCAATGGCAGAAGCTCCCCTGGGAGACAGCAACTCACATGAGGGAGGATGCCCCTGGCCCACACCTATGCCAGAATAGCCAATGTCTCCAGCTGCTGTGTTTGTACGGAGTTTCCAGTCAGTGCTGCGGTGGGGCTGCCATAGCGTATCCATCCAGCTACCACAGAAAACTGGAATTAGTTGTGAAAATGGAACCCTTGACAAGAGGCCTGGGATACAACCTGGCGACACATCCTCTCTCGCATGAGGGCGCAGAAAAACCACACCAAGCTGTGGCTGAGCCATGTGGTATGGGATGGGTGGGGGTGGCTCATGAGTGAAAGTGTGGAGCTTACCCAGGTCATTCCTCTGTGTTTGGAATGACAGACCGGCATCAGAGACGTGGGCTGGGTGTCTGTGGCTTTATGTCAAAATATAACCTGAGTTCCCGAAGGTCGGGTATGGTTGAACGGCCAAAGGCAACACGGGTTAGGCACCATTTTCGTCGCAGAAGGGAGCCTGTGGGTTTGTGGCTTGTATGTCTAGCCCTACCTCCCTGCCAAGTGGACAGGGCACTGTATGTGGGGGTGGCTATATCTCCCGGCTAGCGAACAAACCACATTAATAAGTCGACCCCAAGATTGGGAGTCGTTCAAAGCCAAACACCACAGCATCAAAAGGATGCCCTGGTGGTTTTATCCCCTGGTTATTGTTAGCCCCCAGGTCAGTTCCATTGTGGTGGAAACACAAGTAACTGCTCTTGCTGAACACACTGCCCGAGCCCTCAACCAAACCCACGAGGCCCTGGGCCTCCTAACGGAGGAAGTAGACCAAACGAGGAAAGTAGTCTTCCAAAACCAGATGGCTTTGGACATTTTAACTGCTGCCCAAGGAGGAACCTGCACCATTGACATGCTAAATGCTGTGTGTATATTACAGATAATAAAAAAAAAAGCAAGCCTAGCGGTTTGATGCCTGGCTCGAGCTGAGCTGCTGCTGAGCTGCTAATGGCTCAACTTAAAAAAAACAAAAGAAAAAAATGAAAAAATGTAAGCCAGGCGCTGTCTGCCCTAGCTAAAGAGATCTATGGCATTCAATGCCTGACAGGAGACCCCCCTACAGGAATGGTGGGCTCATCTTTCCTCCTCGAGGTGGGCCCTCGCCCTTATACGGGGAGCAGCTTGTCTCCTGGTGGCTTTCTGCTGTTCCTTGTATTGCTGTTGCGGCCTCTGGGTACAGGGCTCTGGCTTGCTCGCACGGAGGCCTGGAACAAAGACCCTGGCCTGAATGGACAAACAGGCCGGTGAGGAACCCTGAAGGGATGGAGTGTAGGGAAAATGGAGTCAGTCAGGCTCCCTCGCCTAGCATCCGGCGGAACTGCCATACAGACCTGACAGGTACAGAAGATGGAGTGTTGTGCAGGCGCCGTCCATCCTGATGATGTCACTGTTTGTGTATTCTTACATAAGCACTTTGGCTATGAGCCACTATTGTCTCAGCACGCTGTAGAGCCCTGCCACTGTATAAAGCAGGCAGTACCTAGAGAGCCAGTGAATAAAACATGTCTACTCTGCCTTCGGCTCCACGCATCTTCTTTAGCTTTCAGAGTCGTGGACACCTTACCTCGGGGCCACCATGCTCTCAGACAGGGTGCCATGAAATGCTTAAGCCTCAGCCTCACTCCGCTCTTAGCCCCTCATTTCTTGGCACAGATATTACCTCCACCAAAGGGTAGGGTTCCCTTTGCTCTCTGCTACTGCAGGTCTTTGAGGCTCAGAACCTAAAGCAATTTAAACCAGGAAGAGAGTTTTCCTAGGGCTTCACTGGTGCATCAGGGAAAATGCCCTAGATGCAATGAGCCCATCCATATGGCCAGAGGGAGCGGTCAGGCCATGGCCACATGTTCCTAGCTTGCCCAAGACATTTAAAATAAGGGTAAGCATTGATTTGAATTCCAAAGACCCCTAAAATTTGAGGGACTATTACGTGCATCTTCCTATGAACAGGACGTGCAAAGATGTTTGTGACCCAAAGAAGCTAAAACCTGCCCTAGGCCAGTAATTTTCAAAGGAAGGCCTTCTTGCCAAAGAATCACCTGCTGTCCCTTTAAAATGTCACAAGCTCCCTGGGCCCTGTCCCTAGCTGCTGAATCAGAATCTCCAGGGATGGAATCTCATGACTGCCAAACTTTGATGAAAGAACCACTGCTCTGAACAAAATGTTATTTCCTGGCTGCTCTTCGCTTTGCAGGAGTAGGGGTTGGTCTCAGGGCCTGTCCCAAATGTCAGGCCAGGGGGATCACCTAGCCATACACAAAGACTCCCATTTCCTTTGTTCTTCCCAAAGGGGCCTGTGCCGTAGCTGGTATCTTCCCTGGTACTTCAACTCTTGATAGACTGGGGCGTCTCTTGTAGCATGACAGAAGGCCTCTTGGAGGGCTTGTCCTTTGCACACAGGGTGGGAGCAGTTCACGCAGGAGCTCCTCTCACATGGAGAATCTTTGTGAGGGCTGGCTCAAGAGTGGGCCGAATTGGCTGGACCATAAGTCTTGTTTGCACACCAGGGGAAAGGCTCCTCATCAGCACAGTGGTAGAACAAGGTCAGAGGATTCATACCTTGGATTAGCTGGTGCTTGGTTAAGTTGGAACCCTCATCAGAGGCTTCCCCATGCTTAGAGCCTCTCACTGCTATGGGAAGGTGGCAGGTGAAGGCTGGCTGCCTCTTGAAACCCCATTGCATAGTCAAGTCTGGTTCTAGAGGATGCTGCCTGGAAGTCAGCTGCTCTTTTACTCTAGGCACTAGTGAGACTGAATTTCCACGTAGAAATGATGGTGCCAGAGCAGCTTGAAGCCCTGGCCCCACCTATGCTCCACATGGGGCTGTGAAGAGTGCAGGCAGTGGGCCATGGCAAGACCTGTGGTTGGAGGTTTTGCCACTCACTTTGCATAGACAGCTGCTCTCCTGTGTGAATTTTCTGGTGGTTAAGCAGGTCAGAAAGTCAGAGAAAAGCGTCTCATGAAGGAGACTTTTGTCTCTCGCTTTTGTGAGTGCTTTGGGGATGACGGGGGTACCTCAGGTGCAGCTCCTCCCATAACCAGTGCACTTATAGGGTGGACCCGCAGTGTGGACCACATGAGCCATTCTTAGCAAAGGTTTTAGGACAGGCAGACCTTGGGATGGAGAGGCGTGGAGCTGGAAACTTGTTCCGGAGGGCAAGTACAGAAAAGTACTCTCATGTCTGTGATTCTGTTTGTAAGCCTCTATTGAGATCATTCTCTCCAGCCTTTTACCACTTGGAATTCTCCAAATTCTTGTTCTCATCTCTTTTCAGGAGAATGGAAGATGCCATGTTTCCTCCTAACCAGTTTCTACTCTTCGTTTGTCTGGGAAGGCAACCAGAAAACATAAACCATGGCTCCTGTATCACTCACACAGGAGAATTTGGCCCTTTAGCTGTCAAGAATGTTACCAGGCTAGTTTCAGCAGCAAGGGTAAAAAAGGGACAAGGATTGGATCCTATTAAGTTGTCTGTCCAGGGTCACTTTTTCCTTGATTCAGAGCTGCACCAGGGCAGTGTTTCTCAGGTTTCCTTCCTTTACAAGCCTCTATCCAAGTCAGACAGGAATGGAGAGTTCTCAGACGCCTTGAAGGACATCTGGTTCCCTGTCCACTTCCGCTCCTGAACTCTAATACCCTCACCTGGAAGAAATTCCCACAGGATCCTTGCCTCCCTGTGAGAAAAATCCAGGAATCGGATACTCAGGATCCCAGGGATTGAATTAAATTCAGGCTTTGGGGAAGGTGGAAGGAAGTGGCAGAGTAATTGAATACAAAAGCAGCCTCTCTGAGGGAGGATCCCCGACTGGCCCCTGCAGCACCTGGGACTTGGGAAGAAAGAAAAGGGCGTGTAGGGAAAACCGAAGGAGGGAGGGTGTCTAACCCTTGGCTTTCATCCTTCAGAAAGATAAAACATAATGAAGAATAAATGGGGGCGGGAAAAGTTCTGAAAGCACAAGCCCCGCTCCAAGGAAGACGCCAGGCAGGTCCCTCCCGCCGCTCCCGCAGGCACTTTTGGGGGACAGAGGAGGTGGAACCGGCCCGCGCACCCCCCAGCCAATCAGAAAGATGCCTCGCGTTCCCCGGCGACCTTTAACGCCTAGCCGTTGGCATAGTGGGAGGTGGCGGGTGAGAGCACTAGCTCCACCGGCCAATCGCTGTGCTCTCTGAGAGGTAGGGGCGGTGCCTCTGCAAACCGCAGGCGGAGCTGTTTCCCTGGCAACGATCCTAGCCCTGCCGGTGTGTGTGTGTGTGTGTGTGTGTGTGTGTGTGTGTGTGTGTGTGTGTGTGTGTGTGTGTAGGGGGGGAGGGTAAAAATTAGGAGGAGCAGAGGGAGGAGGGAGCCAGGAGGAGTGGGGGTGGGCGCGCCGGTCTGGGGGAGTGGATTCGAGGAGGCGGGGGGAGGGTCCCAGATTCGGGAGTCTCGACGAGCCCAAGGAGGGGTGCGTTCGTCCAGGTTCCCGAGGCGCGGCCGGAGCTGACCCCGAGGCCCGGGAGCGGAGGGGAACTAGACACCGCCCCCGTTGGCGCCGGGAAGCGTCGCTCCTTCTTGCTGACCTTGGTTTCTCTTGTCGCCTCGCCCTTGGCCACAGTCACTGACGGACTCAGAGCCCGAGAGAAGGACAGACAGGCCCCTGGACGGACGGGAACCTAGGACCTAAGCACACAAATTGCCCCAGCCTCTCCCGCCGGCTCTGGGGAGCTCCGACCTCCCCCACCTCAACGCTGGGCTATCCAGCCCAGGGTTAATGCCAACGAGTTTCCACCTCCAGCCGCTCCTAGAGAGGCCGCGGCGCTAGCCAACGGGGGAAATTGGCCGCGGACGGACACTTCCTGTGCGGGGGAAAGGGGGTCGGACAACCGCAGCCCAGCCCGGTCCGGGGGGCAGACGGCGGGGTCTCGGGCGGGGAGCGGTGTCTGGGGGCGTCAGGGCGAGTCGTGAAGCCCCTAGTCTCCGAGACCACGACGCGTGAGGGCCCCAGGGTGAGCTCGGACCTTGTGGGTGGAGGCGGGATCGCGGGGAGGGGAGGGGTCCAGCCGGCCCGAGAGGCCCAGGGTCAAGACGTCCGGCCCTAGGGGCCGGGGCTGGGCAGCCGGGTTTCCTGGGCGGCGCTGAGCGGGCGGGAGACGAGGGCCCGGGTCTCAGGGCACTCACGACGGGTCGCAGGATCGTCCGCCATCGTCGCTGCCGCCGCCGCACTGGAAGCCAGCGGGGATGGAACGGGAGGCGTCGCCGTGGGGCGTCGAGCCCCGGGATGTGCAAAGTCCTGACGAAATAGGGAGCCCTGAAGAGTCCCTCAGAGGTGAAGGAGGGAGCGCCCCTCCGAGGATCGTGCCTGAAAGCGTTAGAGGGGGCTGTGGTACGTGGGAGGGGAAGATAGTGGGGGACTTGGACACCTGGGACTTGGAGGGGGCGGGGACCAGGTGTCCTGGGTTTGTTGAGGGGGAAGTGGGAATTTCAGCACCTGCCCGAGGGCCAGCGACAGTGTTTGAGGAGGGCGGAGAGATTTGTGGCAACTTATGGTGGGACCCAGCGACCTTCCAGGCCCCACACAATCTGCGTTTTCTGTCTTTGGTCCTGCAGGCAACATGAGTGAGAATGAGGAAGAGGAAATTTCTCAGCAAGAAGGCACTGGGGACTATGAAGTCGAAGAGATACCTTTTGGGCTTGAACCCCAGAGCCCTGGGTTTGAGCCACAAAGCCCAGAGTTTGAACCTCAGAGCCCCAGGTTTGAGCCTGAAAGCCCAGGCTTTGAGTCTGGAAGTCCTGGGTTTGTGCCCCCAAGCCCTGAATTTGCACCCAGAAGCCCTGAATCAGATTCTCAAAGCCCTGGGTATGAGCCCCGGAGCCCTGAGTATGAACCCAGGAGCCCTGGGTATGAACCCCAGAGCCCCGGATATGAATCTCAGAGCTCCAGGTATGAACCTCAGAACCCTGAGTTCAAAACCCAAAGCCCTGAATTTGAAGCTCAGAGTTCCAAGTTCCAGGAAGGTGCAGAGATGCTTCTCAGTCCCGAGGAAAAGAATCCGTTGAGCATCCCCTTGGGAGTCCATCCCTTGGACTCCTTCACCCAGGGGTTTGCGGAGCAGCCCACAGAAGGCCTGTCACTAGGGCCACCTTTTGAGATGCCCACAGGGACCCTGTTGGCCACACCCCAGTTTGAGGTGCTCCAAAATCCCCTGGGCCTGACAGGGACCCTGAGGGGTCCAGGCAGAAGGGGTGGCCGGGCTAGGGGCGGGCAGGGCCCTCGGCCTAACATCTGCGGCATCTGCGGGAAGAGCTTTGGGCGAGGCTCCACCCTGATCCAGCACCAGCGCATTCATACCGGTGAAAAGCCCTACAAATGTGAGGTCTGTAGCAAGGCCTTCTCCCAGAGCTCTGACCTCATCAAACACCAGCGCACCCACACAGGCGAGCGGCCCTACAAGTGTCCCCGTTGTGGCAAGGCCTTCGCTGACAGCTCTTACCTGCTTCGCCACCAGCGCACCCACTCTGGTCAGAAGCCCTACAAGTGCCCACACTGTGGAAAGGCCTTTGGCGACAGCTCCTACCTCCTGCGGCACCAGCGCACCCACAGCCATGAGCGGCCCTACAGCTGCCCTGAGTGCGGCAAATGCTATAGCCAGAACTCATCCCTGCGTAGTCACCAGAGGGTGCACACTGGGCAAAGGCCCTTTAGCTGTGGCATCTGTGGCAAGAGCTTCTCCCAGCGCTCGGCACTTATCCCCCATGCCCGCAGCCATGCCCGTGAGAAGCCTTTCAAGTGCCCTGAGTGTGGCAAGCGCTTTGGCCAGAGCTCTGTGCTGGCCATCCATGCCCGCACCCACCTGCCAGGCCGCACCTACAGCTGCCCCGACTGTGGCAAGGCCTTCAATCGCTCCTCCACGCTGATTCAGCACCAGCGCTCGCACACAGGCGAGCGGCCCTACAGGTGTGCTGTGTGTGGCAAGGGCTTCTGCCGCTCGTCAACACTGCTGCAGCACCACCGGGTCCACAGCGGGGAACGGCCCTACAAATGCGATGACTGTGGAAAGGCCTTCTCGCAGAGCTCTGACCTCATCCGCCACCAGCGGACCCATGCTGCTGGCCGGCGCTGACGGGGGGGGCCCTGTCGGGAGAAGGGCGGTGGTGGGCAGAGAAGGGGACAGGGAGCTAGAGAATCATGGAGAACAGTGGGAAAACTGGAGGAGAAAGGAAGAGTTGACAATTCTGGGAGACGGGGGTCAGGGGGGAGGAAGTTACGTGCCCTGGAGACTTATGGGAAATGGGTAATGAAGAGGGGTTGGAGGGAGGCCAAGCAGGCGGCAGGAGGCTCTGGGAGAATCCAGAGAGGTCAACGGACAGCTGCCCTCAGTGGCAGCGTGCCCCTTGTAGATGTGTGGCTTGGCAGAGCACTAGGTGGGGGTAGGGGGAGGGAGGGCTTGGGTTACCTAATTAGAGTGTGGTAGCTTAGATTGGTAGCTGCTGAGACCCTTGTTGAGTCAGGAAGGGGTAAGGGTAGGTGGGGTGGGGAGTAATGCCCGGGTGGGGTCTGGGTTTCTGAGTGCAAACCCCAGCCTCCCTTGTCTCCCTCAGGCTTTGGACCCCCTGAATTTGAGTTCAATAAAAACCTTTATGTGGTAAAAGAGATTTGTCCTTAAAATGTGTGGATGGACAGTGCCCTGGGCAGTGGGAGAGACTATCATCACTGAAGCCACAGGGCTGTCTGGGAGGTGCATAAACAGTTTCAGGAGATGGGCTCCTGTCTGCCCAAGTTCACTTCCCATGCTTTGAATGCTGCACAAACACGGGGCCCCATTATGGGTTTAAGAAAGCCCTCAGCTTTGTGGATAATTCTCTTCCCAAAAACAGGGTCTGCCCTTGGGCCAGAAAACAGATCCTGATTCTTGTATCCAAGCATGGAGCATGTGCCATCTGCTTGGCTTCCAGCACCCAGCTATGTGGTTCTCGCCCCCACTCCACGCCGCAGGCTGGAACCTCTGTCCACCATTCTGTGCAGATCCTAACTCTGACCAGAACCACAATTTCCAAGCCCACCCAGAGGGGGTCATGTACTGGACCCAGTATGACGATTGGACTTCAGCCTTTAAGACCCTCCCACTGGCTGGGCCTAATTTGCCACAGTTCTGCCCCTTTTAAGGACCCTGGTACCTATTGGCAGGAGCACCCTGTTACCACCCCACCTTTACCCTACTTCCCTTTCCCATCTGACCCTCAGCCCTCAACACTTGGCTCCTCAGGGAAGGATGGGGAGTTTGTGCCATCAGTGAGGGTTGTGACCTTAGCTGAGGAGGACAGGCCACACCTTGGAGAATCACTCAGCTGCTGGGCATGTCTGAGATGACGTGCTAAGGGCCTGGCAGTGCCCTGTGAAAAGTTTACTCTATTTCAAAGACAAGGAAGACGGAGCTCAGAGAGCTCAGTGACCTGCTCAAAGTCACTCCGTGGCTAAGAGGCAGGTAAGAACACTCAAACCACATCTGCCTGGCTCCACCTGCCCCCAGCAGCCTAGCCGCAAGGCAGGTGGGGAGTGGTTGTTCTACAAGGGCTCTTGGGCCTCAGGATGCTCCCATCACCCCAGCTTTATGCCCATCCTCAGGGCCGTATAACTCATTGAGAGCAAATCGCTCTTCTTAGCACATTTCAATCCAGCCTCGCGTGATCTGTCAGCTCGAGACGGGGCTGCAAAGTTTGTATCATTCAATACAGTATCCTCAATAATTTTTAAAGAGTATAAAAGGGTCCTGAGACCAAAGCACTGGGGGGCCACATTTGAACACATTCCTTGTGCCAGCCCTGGTGAGGGGTCAGTATGGGTACCATATGTGAGTGAGCCTGAGTCCTACCTTCCAGAACCTTCTAGTCTTGAGACAGCAGCCCACACAGTCAGCGTGATGTGCCCCAAGAGATATAAACAAAGTGGTGATGGAATGGGGCGTTTTGTCCAGGAATTGTAGGATTGAAAGAAGCTTCAAAGTGTGAAGGTTTTCGTGGATAGAAAAGAGGTGGAACTGCACCTGCTGGCAGAGGAACAACATATTCAAAGGCACAGAGGTGGGCAGGACAGGTGGGTGTCCAAGGACAGGAGCTGTCAGGTGAGCTGGTATGTAGATTCCTGGGAGTGAAGATGGCAGGTCTGCTCCTGAAATAAGCCTCCCACATCTTCTGTGCTGTTTTGCTTCCAACCTGGAAGAAAATATCCACTCCCCCCGCCCCCCGGTGTCACAGAATATCACTTCCTCAGAGAGACTTTCCTGATCACATATCTAGAAGGGCCCTCTACCCCATTTTCTTGCTTTATTGTCTTCACAGCCCTCCCACTACCTGGAACCACATTTCTACTTTCTTACTGTTTTTCCACTGAAGTGAAGCTTCCTAAGAGCAGCAACTTGCCTGCCATGTTCATCCCATGTCCTCAGAGCAGAGGACCAGAGCGTCACACAAAGTGCTCAAGAAATACTACGTACGTGAATACAGCCTGTCTTACACTTCACAGGACATACAGATCATTTAACGTGATTTTAGTAGTTCTGGGATATTCCTGACAATTAACCCATTTTCCCCCTCTCTGGGAAAATGGGGCTCACTCCTTCCTGATGTCTTGCTTCTGAGCCAGCCCCATGGTTCTTGTGGGGCTGGACCAGAAGGGGGTGGGTGAGGTTGGAGAGACCAGCCGGCTTTGAGAGACTTCTGGGCCTTGTGTGCCAGGCTCGGAAGTACATTTACACCCCTCTAGGCAGAAGGGAACCATCAAAGGTCACTGCTTGGGGACCAAAAGTTGCTTCTCACCTCCCAGTGCTGGACCTGGAGCTGTGGTCCTACAGACCCCAAGAGGGCAACAGTGACCTGCCCCCTCTGTCCTTTCTAAAGCAGGGAGTATCAGGGTTTAAAAAAGGGTGTGTGGGGGCCAGCCAAGTGGCACATTGGTTGAGTTGGCTTGGGATGCCAGCTCTGAGCAGCAGGGCCCCGATTCAGATCCCACATGAGGGCCAGTGACACTGCCCTCTACAGCTAAGATGGTGAACAACAGCTCGACCTGGAGCTGGGCTGCCATGAGTCACCGGCAAAGGCGACGGCGTAGGCTGCATTGGGCTGCTGTAAGCTACCGTGAGTGGCCAGCAGCCAGCGTGAGCTGTCAAGAGCCGCTGTGAGCAGCCGTCCAGTGGCCGGTGACCAATCTGCCTCACCCTGGAAGAGCACAATGATAATACCAACATGGGCCAGTGAAGCGAAGTCCTCCACAACTAGACTGAAGAACAAAAGGACAGCAACTTGTCTGTTCCCCTTCCCCAATTCCCCAATGCTGTTCCCCTCCCCCAATTCCCCAATAAAATCTTTAAAAAAATAAAAGGGGGGGGGTGCATCTGGGTGGCTCAGTTGGTTAGAGTGTGTGCTCTGAGCAACAGGGTTTCCGGTTCAATTCCCACATGGGCCAGTGATCTGCACCATCCGCAACTAGATTGAAGACAACTTGAGCTGAGCTGCTACTGAGCTGCCGATGAGTGGCCAGATGGCTCAGTTGGTTAGAGCACATGCTCTGAACAACAAGTTGCCGGCTTGACTCCTGCATGGGCTGCGCCCCCCCCCTCCCCCCGCCAACTAGATTGAAACCACAACTAGATTGAAAACAGCGACTGGACTTGAAGCTGAGCTGCACCCTGCACAACTAAGGTTGAAGGACAAATGACTCGACTTGGAGCTGAGAGGTCCTGGGAAAAAACACACTGTTCCCCAATAAAGTATAATTTTTAAAAAAGGGGGGGCAAAGAAAGGTCTATTCTCACATCTTCAAGAATTGTCAGTGCGCTCCTAAACTTTTCTCATTTTCTGTGTCAACCTCCCTGCTTCTCTTGTTTCAATATCAAGTGCAGGTCACTCCCTGAGGGGAATGATCGCCAAAAAAAACAAACAAAAAAAATGGAAAGAAAAATAAGAGCTACTATTTGGGTCCCACTTAATAAAAGAGTTGAGAAGAAAATGTTTGTTGAATTGACCCAGGCTGGCACGTTGTACTAGCACAGAAACATCACAAAATGGGACAGAATTTCACATTTATTGGGTAAATATATGCAGGGAGTGTGCTTGGCACTGGGAGCCAGGTGAATGGGCGTGGTGCCCACCCTTGAGCTCAGAGTCTCACGGTGGGGGGGGTCACAGACGGGTATGATGGAGTCCTGTTGGGGTCTGTGGAGTAAGGGGCCAGTCGCATGGGGAAACTGAGCCTGTAAGAATGGGGATGCCAGGCTGGCTGAGTGGCACATTGGTTAAGATTTGGCTTGGGACGCCAGCTCTGAGCAGCAGGACCCCGGTTCGGATCCCACATGAGGGCCAGTGACACTGCTCCCTCTACAGCTAAGATGGTGAACAACAGCTCGACCTGGAGTTGGGCTGCCTTGAGTTGCTGGCAATGGCATAGGCTGCAGTGGGGCCAGTGGGCTGCCATAAGCTACTTTGAGTGGCCGGCATCCAGCGTGAGCTGCCGTGAGCCACCGTGAGTGGCCATCCAATGGCCGGTGAGCTCACCCGGGAAAAGCACAATTATAATACCAACATGGGCCAGTGAATCGACGTCCTCCACAACTAGACTGAAGAACAAAAGGACAGCAACTTGTCTGTTCCCCTTCCCCAATTCCCCAACGCTGTTCGCTCCCCCAATTCCCCCAAAAAAATCTTTTAAAAAAAAAAGAATAGGGATGCCACAGACCCATCCAAACTTTGTTCTCTATCTTCCCACAGGCACCCTCACTAATTGAGTGAAATTATGTCAAGCACCTACTATGTGTCTGGCTCTGTGATATCAAGGTGTGGTCCCTACACATGGAGTTCACTATTGGAGAGACGGATATTAAGTAAATCACTTAACAATGAACAAATACAATTCATACTATGATGGACAATTGTAGGCTAGTTAAGTTGCATAACATGGGAACCCAAATGAGTCGGGGCTAGGGGGCGGCCCTGAGGAAGTGATGTGCAAGCAGAGATCTGAAGACTGAAGTGCGTTAGCCAGGGAAAGGAGAGAGGAGGCACATTCTAGGCAGAGAGAGCATTCTGGGTGAAGGCAGTGGGACAGGAAGTAGCTTGGCAAGTGAGAAAGACTGGAGTGACTGGAGCTTCAGAAAGGAGGTGGGGTGTGTCTACAGGAGGCCAGGAAGGTCACAGGGCCCAATTTTTTTTTTTTTAGCTGAGCCATCCTGCCACCTATTGGCAGCTCAGTGGCAGCTCAGCTCAGGCCGGGAATCAAACTGGTGACCCTGTTGCTCAGAGCTGCACTCTTGAGCGAGCTCTTAACAAACTGAGCCAGTCGGCTGGCCCTCATATTGGCATATTAAAGGTATTTTGCAGATTCTGGAAGTCATATTAAGGAATTGGGTCTTTAGCCAAAGAGCAAGGGGTCTGCAGTAGGATGTAGTGACACAGATCAGGACTGCTCTGTGACAGGTGAATGGACAGCTGGCTGGGCTCTGGGCAGGTAAACATTTGGGGCAAGGCTCTGGGCTTCCAAGGGCAGGAGGATGAGAGGATTGGGGGTGTCACTAGGTCCTGTGACTCGAGTTTCCACATTTAGATCCGACATTCTTTTTCAGGGGAGGAAACCACGAGGGGCTGGTGGAAGCCGCGGCCATCTAAGAACTCCAAGGCTTCCCCTTAATAGCCTTCCTGGCCCCTCACTCAGTAAACCCTCACTATGACCCTGCAAAGGAGGCAGGCAGGAGTGAGTTCCAGGTTCAAGACAGAAAAACTGAGGCGTAGGAAGGGGCAGTGACTTGCCAGAGGACACTGAGTGACATGCAGGGAGAGGCGACCGGCACCAGGCACCCTGAGTCCAGCCCTGGGCCCTCACCTCAGGCCTGGGCCTCAGTCCATGCCACCTCCATCCTGGGTCTCCTTTCCATGGAGCGGATCCAGGCAGCCTGGATCCACAGCCTCTTCCTTCGACTCTGGCTGCCCAGACTCTTCTCCAGGGATTCCACTGGAGGCATCCGCAGTCGCCTCCATCTTCTCCTTCAGGTTCCGTTTGAAGAAGCCAACCTGCAGAAAGACAAAAACTGAGTGAGCATAAAGTCCATGGAGCAGGGTTGGTCCTGGCCAAACAGGAGTGCTCTCTTTAGGTCAAGAAATTGTCCGTGCCAGAAACATATGGTGCCCACTCCAGGGGTGGGTCAAGGGTGTCTGCCACACCTGGTTGTTGGCAATATGTTAAAAAGCTGTACATTTACTAGTTCACTCTTTAGGCTCATCAAAAAGTCATGTACCAGGGTGACTGGTTAGCTCAGTTGGTTAGAGTGTGGTGCTGATAATACCAAGGTTGCTGGTTCGATCCCCACATGGGACACTGTGTGAGCTGCACCCTCCTTTCTCTTTTTTTAAAAAATTTGTTTTTTAGCTGAGCCATCCTGCCACCTGTTGGCAGCTCAGCGTCAGCTCAGCTCGGGCCAGACTCAAACCGCTGTTGCTCAGAGCTCAACCTTTGAGCGAGCTCTTAACCAACTGAGTCACTCAGCCGGCCCTGCACCCTCCTTAAAAGAGTCAACTATACCATTGTAACATGAAAGCAATGTGCAAGCAATGGCCATGGCTGTTCCCCAATAAAAATAAAAGATTTAAAACCCTCAAAACCAAAAATCATCGTGTACCAATATTTTAGGGGGGTGATGTGACAGTATCTAGCGATACTAATAGTAAGAGCCCATGCTTATATAGTACTCAGTATGTGTCATGCATGCTCTGTTGAAAGATCAAAACAAATATATTCTTTGGCTCAGTGATTCCAGGTCTAGGAATTAGTTCTAAAGAATATTTGGACAAGTGTGCAAAGATATGGGTAACAAGAACTTTTTTGTGTCATACTGTTTGAAATAGATGTAAATTACAAATGATCTAGGTGTTTGTCAGTAGAGAACTTGTTACATAAAAGGTGGGACACCAAGACAGCAGAAAACCACCCCAGTTACAAAGCAAGAGGTAGATGAGCTTGGGCTCAGATGGAACGACATCAGATATAATATCCAGAGGAAAAGACAAGTTCCCAGGCAGTACAGTCTAATCCCATTTCCATTTTCGTCATATACACACACATACACTGACTTTTCTTTCTCTCTCTTGTGTTCACACATACACACACGTTAACAAAAGTACAACCTAGAGGAATAGGAACAAAAAAACTGTTAATGACAACCTCCAGGGGTACAGAAAGAAGAAACTGATTCCACCACCCCCACCCTCCCAGAATATTTGTTTTTTCCATGGAATATCTGCCCTCCAGCACTTTTTCTTTAAAAAAAAAATTATTGGGGAACAGTGTGTTTTTCCAGGACCCATCAGCTCCATGTCAAGTAGCTGTCTTCAATCTAGTTGTGGAGGGCACAGCTTCTTGGGAATGGAACCAGCTACCTTGGTGTTGTGAGCCTGTGCTCTAACCACCTGAACTAACCGGCATCCCCACCCTCCAGTGCTCTTCATCTGGCAAACTTCTACTCATCCTTCAAATTCCAACTCCAATGCCACTCTCTTGGGAGGCCTTCCCAGACTCCCCCAGCCTACCTCACCACAGGCCTCCTAGTGGAGCCCTCATCAAGTGTGTTCCCATCTGTCTACCCCATCAGGCTGTGAGCTCCACAAAGGAAGGACCCATGTTTGTGGCATGCGCCTCTATCCCAGTGCCTGACCCTCGATATGCAGGACAGCCCTTCTACTTCCTCTCCCTGGGTGTCCAGTCCTGGCCCTGCCAGGGTTCGGTAAAGCGATGGGGATAACGTCTCGTCTCGCATGCTCTTTGGGCCTCAGGAGGCTTATCTGCAGGAGGGCGCAGGCCTAGGCCCCTTCTAGCTTTGATGCTCCCTGCTTTGGTGTTGTCCTCCCCCACTCCTGTCAGTCCCCGGTCCCCCTGCCTACCTCAGCCACGCCCACTCCCCCCAGAAGCTCCCACCTTGTAGAGCACCAGGAAAATCAGGAGCAACAGCAGCAGCCCCCCAATGCCACTCAGCACGTAGAGGTAGAGCATTTCCTTCTCGTATATGATGTCAACCTTCATGATGACCTGCGGGGGACAAGAGGAGGGGTGTGCAGGGAAGAGGCCTCTCCCACGAACCTTTCCTGTGACTTGGGTCCCACCCTCTAGGTCTCTGCCTTTCCAGCCTGGACTGTGGCCCGGGCCCTCTCTCCAATATAGTGCGCCCTGCAGCCAGCTGAGTGAGCGGGCAAGCATGCACCATGGCCCACCTGAAGCCCTTAAGTGGCTTCCTTTAGTCCCAAGAGAAAATGCCAGATCTCAGCTCAGCATTCAAAGCCTTCCAGAACCTGGCACCTGCTGACCTTCCTAGCTACGGCTTCCCTTCTCCGGCCCTAAGCCCCCTGCTCTCAAACCCACCTCACCAGTTCCCTCAGCTCCAGGCCTGCCCTGGCCACTCTCGTAGAGCACCTTCCCTTCACACTCTGCCAATGGGGTTGGCACCCCTTGGCTGAGTTGCCATCAAATCGATCGTGACCTGACACATCTCAGACCTGTGGTGGGCTTGCCCACCAGAGGTGGTGAAAGCTCCAAGGCTGCCAGCTCTGGCTGTGGGGGGTTCTGACCAAGCTAAGCCCACACCTTCTCCTACTTCTAGCGCTGGCTCTTCCAGCTCTGCCCCGTGCTTCCTCAGATCGCTCTGCTGACCTCTGCTCCCGGTCATTTGAGGAGGTGAAAAGATACCTGGGCCACAGAGGCGTTGCTGCCGTACAGGTGGAAGTGCCTGCTGCTGTTGAAGGAGACGGCCAGGGAGCTGCAGAGGCTGAGCATGGAGGCCGCCTGTGGGACGTGGGGAAGGCTCAGGGGGCACAAGAAGGCCCAAGACCCACTGCCTCCTGCCCGCCTCCGCTCAAGGAGGAGAAGCACCCGTTTACTCAGTTCTGTACCCCAGCATTCTAGTGTGCTACTCCACGTAGCTGCAAGGAAAGCTGTACCGTAAAGAACGTATGAGAACTGTCCACAGAGCCATGGAAACAGCCCTGCAAATTTCACACAGGTGACGACTCTTTCATCTGTGTAAACATCAGGGCTCTTTCCCCAAGGTAGAACAGGAAATGCAGGGAGACCACAGGCGGGAAGCCACTACCCACCCCCCACCCTCTCTCCAGCCAAGGCTCACAACCACTCCGCATGCTGCCAGCGGAGGGCGCTACCTCGATCTTCTCCATCAGCTTCACAGTTCCCATCACTTGGACGAAGATGTCCTGTTGCTTGAAAATGATGGGGCAGCGGAACTGGCCTCCCGGCACACAAGGCTGCTGGGGACAGGAGCAGCGGGAGTCAGGGAGGCCTCCTACCGACCTGCAGCCTGCACAGCCCCCACCCCAGTCTCTTAGCTCAGCGTCCATACCTCAGCCACACTGGGTGGCCTCTCCAGATTCTCAAAGTGGCAGGGGACAGGAGGATCCTAGGAATGATGGGGAGGGATCTTCAGTAAGTCCAGAGCTGAGAGAGGATACTAGCCCCTTAAGGCCAGAATCTGGCCTTGCTCCTCACCCCCCAGAAATGACCTTGGCATCCACATCCTCCCTGACTGGCCCCCCCAGCGGATTCAGACATCGCTGAGCGTGACGGGGTTCATCCGTCCCCACTCCTTTCCCCTATATGAACTCATTCCCACTCACAGACCTGGCATCCTTCCCTGCTCTGGGCAGTACTCACCATCTGCACATTCCACGTGTGGGTGATGGGCCTCTCATTGTGATATGGTGGTGGCACCCTAATCAAGGCCTCCAGGGCGGGCACATGGCGGTCATGGGCAAACGGCTGAATCCTCACCTGGTACAGAGAACAATCGTCACTGGCCGAGGCCCAAGGGCCCACACTTCAGGCAGTGGGCGGTGGTCCTCAGGTCAGGGTGGGTTATAGGAACTTCTCTTTCTCCGCGAGGCAAACCCTCACACATCCTACCAAGTACCACTCAGGTACCACGCTGAGAGTCTGGCTGAAGCCCCAAGGACAGGGCTGCTCCCCTCCTGTGTTCCCACAGCATTCTGCACCCCGGAAGGACAGAAAGTACCTGCTGTGTGGGTCTCCCCTCGACTGTAGGCTTCGTGCGAGCAGGAGCTGTGATTTATTTCACTTGCTCTACACAGCTGCTCACATGTGACAGCCCTCAAGAAGGGCAGGTTTTTGAATGAGTAAACGAACAAATAGTATTTAACAAGGATAGATGCAAAATGTATTTGCAACATGCAGGCTGGGAGACTCGTTGTGGCAAGTGCATTCAATTAATATTTCCTGAATATCATTTAGACAAAAGAGCTCTCTGTGCTAGGGTTGGAAGACCCAGAAATGTGTAAACAAGTGACACCCATGAAAGTCTCAGGGAGGTCAAGCCAGGAAATACATATCAAATTCCAGGGGTTCCATCATTTATTCATTCAGTAAACATTTATAGACATTTAAAAAAATGTCAGTTAAATTAAACTTTTAGTTCTCATGTCAGAGGCAGCATTTGAATTTCACTGGAAGATAGGCAGAAAATTAACAGATGGAGGAGGCATCCAGAAAAAGGAAGTGCAGGGACTTAGGACAGAACCAGGTGAGTGATGGTAGGGCGCCTGGAAGGACAGATAGGAGGAAAGTCTAGAAAGGAGACATGGGGTGCAGAGGCCTGAGGGCAAGAAGTCAGGGGGCCATCGGCCAGGTGATGGGAGTCACGGAAGGCAGCAGAGGACGAGGTGGCTCCAGGGGACCCATCCACTGCAGGCATGGAATGGAAAGAAGCTGGGAGAGGCAGATCAAAGCCAAGTTGGGAGCCAGTGCCAGTAGCCCAGATGCAAGAAGACAAGGAACTGAGTCTGGGCAGTAGTGAGAAGAGGATACAGACAACAGAACGTGAGGAGGCAGTGGGTCCTGGCACAGTGGAAAGAAAAATTCACCCAGACTTGGAAATTTTGCTTGAGGAAAAAGTCCTTTTAAAGGATTCTAAGTGAGCCAGAGTGGATGCTGGCTTAGGAAAAGATACTAAGTTTGGTTAGAATATGTTGAGACCCAAGATGCAAGAGGAGCAATAGGAATCCTAGTTATGTATCTAAGAGAAATGAAACACCTGTCCACCTGAAAACGTGTACAGGGATGTGTAAGTGGCATGATCCATCACAGCCAGAAAGTGGAAACAGCCCAAATGTCCACGACCTGATGAATGCAGACACCAAATGTGAACTCGCCCACAATGGAATATTATTTGGCAATAAAAATGAATGGAGGGCCGGCCAAGTGGCACGTTGGTTAAGAGCTGGCTTGGGATGCCAGAGGACCCCAGTTCGGATCCCACATATGAGGGCCAGTGACACTGCCCTCCACAGCTAAGATGCTGAACAACAGCTCAACCTGGAGCTGGGCTGCCATGAGTCGCCAGCGACAGGTAGGTGGGTTGCCATGGGCTACCGTGTGTAGCCAGCAGCCAGCGTGAGCGGCCAGCAGCCAGCGTGAGCGGCCAGCAGCCGCTGTGAGCAGCCGTCCAGAAGCCGGCGACTGATCTGCCTCACCCAGGAAGAGCGCAATGATGGTGCCAGCTTGGACCAGTGAAACAACGTCCTCCACAACTAGACTGAAGAACAAAAGGATAGCAACTTGTCTGTTCCCCTTCCCCCAATTCCCCAATAAAAATCTTTTTTCCCAATTCCCCAATAAAAATCTTTTTTAAAAAAAAGAATGGAATACTGACACGTGCCACAATATGGATGAATCTTGAAAAGACTATGCTTCACCATGGTCACCCCAATAAATTTTAAAAGAAGAGAAAAGACTATGCTAAGTGAAAGAAACCAGGCACAAAAGGCCACATAGTGTATGATTTCATTTATACGTAATGTTCAGAACAGGTAAATCTATAGAGAGATAAAAGTAGTGGATGCCAGCAGCTGGCAGAGTGTCAGGCAGTGGGGAGCCAAATGCTTGGCTTCAGATGCTGGAGCGGGGGTGAGATGGATGGCGGCATCCAGACCAGATGACACTTCTCAGGGATGGAGGAAGATCAAGGGGTTTGAACTGGTTCTGGGCTGAAGCAGGAATGTCAGAAGGCTCCCTAATAGCTGGGGGATCGCAGGGCCGCAGCACAACACCCACCTCCCCCTTCTACCAACCTCCCTTCCCCAGGCACTCTGCAGGGAGGAAGAAACCCACTGAACCTCAAGGCCACCTGTGAAATTCTTGTTCCAAACCTCCCCCCAGGAACCCAGAGCTGTCCCAGCGAACAGCATGGGAAGCCAACACCACTGGTTCTTCCAAACATCCTACTTCAGTTTAGGTGGGCGTGTCATCTTTCCCAAGACCACGCCCCATCCTGTCAGTTTCCAGGGAGATAGCGCTAGTCTCTGTTCTGAAGGGGCTACCTGGCTCGGGATCCCCTACTGCTGGGCGTCTTTCCCAGAGTGCCCTGACTCTAGTGTGACTGGCTGAGGCACTTTCTCTTTGAGGCCTCAGTTTCTTTTACGGTAAAATGAACCTGCTCTAACAAAGCCTTCGACCTATCATGCTTTAGACTCAGAGGCGACTTCCCTCTCCTGAGTTCCCATAGTGAAGGCTGCCGTTACAGCACTGAGCTTATTGCGGGAGGAATGACAGGTCCCTAACGCATCTCGGTTCACATAAGCGCTCGAATCGGACCTGTCCCTCATTAGCTGTGTAACCTGGGCGGGTTACCCGACCCGTCTACGCCCAGACTCTCCCCCTGTAAAATGGGAAACGATGCCTATCTTACAGGGCTCTCGCAGGCTGGGGTGAGAATTACAGGGGGCTGTACACGTACAGCACCAGGCACGGAACCTGGGATTGGTGAGTGGTCAGGGGCCTTGTTTTACCTAGGGCCGCCCCAGCACCTGGCAAAGTACCTTAAGTAGAACAGCGGCTCATTAAATGTTGGAATAAAAACTAGGTTCTCTCTCAGAGGCCTCTGGTTCTCAAGGTCTGTAACACAGTTTATCCAGCGGCTGAAAGCAGTGAGTGAAAATGTGCTGCCTCCAGACACACTTCAGTGGAGGCCGTGAAAGAATACGGAAAGGGGTGTGAAACCAGATGGAGGGCGGGACTCAGAGGACGGTACGGCGTTTGATTGGTCCCCAGGATCGGGCTGAATGAACGCGTGACCTCTAGAGACCTTTTCGCGCTGAGGGTCATACCTGGTAGATGTGGTTGACATAGTGGACCTTGGGTCCCTTGGAGGTCAGACTGATGTAGAGAGTGGAGTTTTCTTGGCTGTGGAGAGAGCAGAGGTAGAAGGTGGAGAAGACCGTGACCCAGTCTGCAGGAAGGCGGGGCCTGGAGAGCCAGCCGTCCCCCCCTGCCCCGCCCCACATGACCTCATGTGAGCTCTCACGACTCCCTGTTTCCCTTGGGGAAACTAAGGCCCGTAGAGAGGGTCAGCTTTTTGCGTGGAAGGCCAGGACTGGAAACCGGGGGCATGGGACTTTGGAGCCAGGTTCTGCCCACTACACACAATCTTACCAGCGTCTCCACTGCACCCGGGCCCCACGGCTTGTCTCCTAGGTAACTGCACCAGCCTATAACTCCTTCTCTCACCCCCTTTTCCCTTTGGCTTTCCTCATGTCACTCTTTGATCCTGCCACTCCCCTGTGCAGAATCCATCAAAGCTCCCAGATGCCCACAGGGTGGGATCTGCCTGCCTGCTGTCCTGGCACAGGCCTGCCACCTCCTGAGCTGCCCACACCCTGCTCCCAGTTCTGCCCTACCGATTGCTGCCTCCACAACGACGATGTAGCTGGTGCTCTTCTCTCTGGTGAGAATGTCCTCCCTCTTCTCTCCCTTACCCTCATTCTCCGGAACCCGGTTCAACTTCTCAATGACCCCTTCCATCGCTCCTCCAACCCCCATCATCTTTCCTGGCTCTCATTTCATATCCCACTTCAGGCAGAATCAGTGTTTGGCAATCATGTTCCAAAGCACCAGAGACCCTGGTTCAGACACTGGCCCTGTTCTTATCTCACTGAGCCAACTGAAGAAGCCACTCCACTTTTTCTGGCTTAAACTACTTTTCTGTAAATGAGAAAATCCAACTACTGATCTCTCTGTGTGGGTCCTTCCTGCCCCAACATTCTGACACTCACTGATTCTGTGTGTGTGTGAGTTTGGCCTTTCGCACCTGACTGACATCAGCTGTCTGTGGGCAAGGGCCATTGTGAAAACCTTTCTCCCACCTCTACTAGCAGCGCTGGCCCCAGGAAGGGAGGGAAACTAGCACAGCTGAAAATAGTAAAGAACTTGGTGGGGCTGGGGAGACAGACGTAAGTTCAGATCCAGGGGTCAACACTTCCTAGCTCCGTGACTCTGGGCAAGTTCCTTCCTTCTTGGTGCCTCCGTTTGTCTACTAGTAAAATGGTGAGAGGCACAGCTGCCTCCCCAGCCTGAAGGCTCCAGGAAAGGCATGAGCTGGGCAGTGCAGCTGGCACAGAGTCTGACATGAGGTCAGCATTCAATGTGCTTTTTCTTCCATTGGCTGATTTGACTCAGCCCTCTTAGAGGCCTTTGCTCTTTTGAGTGTTGAGAAGTGCTGGGGTTGGAGTAGGAGTCTGTTCTAATCACCCCTGGGGTACAGAAGGGAGGGGTTCTGAGGGAGAGCCCTGGGATGCAGGTGGGGCCTCCAGGGTGGCAGGAGAGGGACTCACTCCTCGGTGAGGATTTTGATGGGGTACAGTACTGGAATGCTGGTGGTGTCTGAGTTGTCTTCCAGGAGGCCTGAGTCCTCATTGTCACTGCATTGGGGACATGGGGGAGGGCAGCGTTAAGGAAGGGCTTGGCCAGGAATGGGGGATAATCTGTGAGCAGGGCAGGGGTGCTGGTGGGGGTGGGGTGGGGGGCCGGCTCACCAGCTCACATTGGCCTGCAGCTTCACAAAGTCCTCCCAGGAGCTGTCCAGCAGCGTGTGAAACATGACCTGGATAACAACCTGGCAGGAGGAGGGGGGATGAAGGAGTGAGGGGCCTGGGCCTCGGGGTAGGCGGCCTTGGCCCCTCACAGCCTCCACACCCAGGCGCCATAACTTCAGTGACCACTTAGCGAGGCTCCCTGAACCTCAAGCGCTGGGCTAGGTGTTTCACCCCCATCATACAGAAGGGAACACTTGGCTTCCAAATGTTTAAGTCATGTGTGAAGTGACCAAACGAATAACCCAAGCCCCGGTTTGTCTGATTCCAAAGTCCAGGCTCTCCAACTTGATGCAAATCACCTCTGCACATGCTCCCTTTGAGGGAGGGGGCCAGGAGATCCCTGCCCCCTCCCCCAGCTCAAAGCCCCTGGCTGCTTGGCTCCTAGGGCCTTGAGGCACTCACCAAGCTGCCTGCTTTAAAGATGGGAGAGCTCACGTTGCAAGACAGGCTCTTCATCAGAAGCTCAGCCTCATCAGCAATCTCCTCACAACTCACAGGTATCTGGCTGTGAGGCTGGGGGTGAGAAGAGAGAACAGCCTGTTAGCGGGAGGCTAAGGGTTCCCCAGAGGCCACCAACCCTCAGGGCCCACGTCCTCCAGCTCTGTCCCTTTCAGAGCACATTCTAGGTCAGGGGCCCAGCCAGAGGTGTGAGATCAAGACACTCACTGCCACACTATTTATAATAGTGAAAAACTGGACGTGATCAAGCAGTTTAGAGAGCTAGCAACAGTTCAGTAACTGATACAATCACAGGGAGGATAGTGTGAGATCCTCAAAATGCTGCTATAGCTGCACACTCAGCAACCATTTTTCCAAAGAGCTTGAACCTGGGCCAAGTGGTATAAAACCTTTCATCCTCATCACAATCTGTGGGAGATTTCACCCTCAGATTGGGAAAGGAATCAGGTAAAGAAAGAGGGGCCTCTGGGAAGTAAAGTGACTTCCCCAAGATCTCACAGCTGGGTAATCTGGCTGGGATCTGGTAGGAGCTTGAACACAGGTCTGTTTGATTTCAGGTTGCAGGTTCTTAATCACTTTATGAGATGCCCCTGAAGGAAGCATTTAATATTGCTGTATAAGAATAATTCCAGTGTCCACAGGCAGATAGATAGATAATTCAAATGTGGTCCATCCATACAATGAGATAATCCTTAGCCTTAACAGGGAATGAAATTCATACATGCTATCACATGGATGAACCTCAAAAACATGCAATGTCAGACAGACACAAAAGGACGAATAACATGATTCTGCTCATGAAATCTCCAGAACAGGCCAATTCATAGAAATGGAAAGCAGATTAGTGGTTGTCACAGGCGGGTTGGGGGATGAGAAGTGATTGCTAGTATAGCACTTCTGTTTGAGATGATGATAAAGCTCTGCAAATAGATAGTGGCAGTGGTTGCCCAACATCAGGAATGGACTTAATGCCTCAGAATTGTACAGTTAAAAATGGCAAATTTTATAGGACATACGTTTTACCCCAGTAAAAACATTTTTAAAAACATGGAGGGGAAAAAAAATGACATGGAGAGCAAAACACCAGTTACTTAAAACAACTATAGAACAAATGAGTAAATGATGGAATTCGTCAGTATCAACAGAAGGATCAACACCAAAATATTAAAAGTGGTCACTGCTGAGTTGGAGAAATCTGGGTGATTCCCTTCTGGAAACTTCTCTGTAATCTCCAGGTTTCTGTGGGGATCATATATTGTGCGTTTGTAATAATTTAAAAAAATAAAAGTTGTACTTAAAACAACCCAGGCCAGCCCTGGGTTGAAAACCACATTGGTCATTGTTAGGAGTGAGGCAGCTCCATCTCATTAAACCTGTGCCATCTTGCCAGCCACCAGGCCCCAGAGCCTCTGTCCACACTCTCCATTTCATGAGAGCCTCTCACTAACCCTGCGGTATCCCCAGCCTTACTTTTGGGTCAGGGGATCTGAGGCCTCCCCAGAGGGTGCAACTTGTATCTCAGGTCATAAAACTCAAGGGTGGCCACCAGGCTGCAAGTCCCGAGGTGGCCCTAAGACCTCTGCGTACCAGCTGCTGCCCACATCTGCAGGCTGTCCTGGCTACCTGAGGCTCCCAGGGGGACAGAAGCTGCAGGGGGCGAGCGCCCGGATGTGGGCATCCACCTTCTTGTTCACCTTGAGCATCTCCACTTTGCGGAAGGACAGTCCCCGGGGGAAGCTCAGGCGGAGCCGGACCCAGTAAGCGTCTTCTTCCAAGTTATTCAGTGTTAGCTCCACGGAGAGGCTGGCAGAGGGGGTCAGACGCAGGACCCTGGATCTGGAGGGCAAGATCAGGGAAAAGTTACGGGGGGCCAGAGGTGAAGGCTTCCAGAACAGAGGCCAGAAAAGCTAAATACACGAAAATAAGCTATGCACAGGCTCTCAGTGTCCTGAACTTCTCTCATCCTGACAGGAGTGCCACAAGGGTCTTGCATTTCTCAGAGAAGGAAACGAAGGCTCTGGGAACACATTTAGCTCCGACAGGGGTCTTCTGAGCAGAGCGGGGTGGGAGTGGGGGAGCCTTACAGACCTTGCAGGGGTGAAGGACAGTGCCAGGTTTGCCTCACATTTCTTGTCTTCTCCACAGTTCTTCTCAAAAGGGATCTGAAGGCAAAAAAAAAAAAAGGAACTGGGAGGCTCAGGCCCCCGGACCCAGGAGGGCCCAACCCTGGACTGTCTGCCTCTCTTACCTCCTTGGTCTCAGAGTGTGGCGAGGGTCTCAGGATGGGCTTTACGTTCTTGACCTGCTGAGCACGGAGGGGCGGGAGACAGGCCAGGTTAGCTGAGTCAGCAGAACTCAAAGAGGAGGGCTGGAGGAGCTCAGGGCTTGGGACTCAGCTGGGCCAGCTGCGGTGTGTCCCTTCCAGGCCCTCCACTCCTGACTCAGCCACTGTTCAGTCCACCTTTGGTCGCAGCTCTCAGAGAGAGGCTGATAAACCAGGGGTCTGTGCCCTCTCCTGGATAGGAGAGCTGGGCCTTAACAGAGCAGCTCCCAGTTCCTCCTAGCCCATCCCCCCACCCTACGCCTGGCAGGAGAGCCTGCTGGGAAACCTCTGGGCTCACCTGCCTGGGTTCTCTGTGAAGTCCATCCCCCCACACACACCAGAACAACTCTCAGTCTTTCATCAGATCAAGGGCAGCTCTTTCACCATTTCCAGAGCTTCTGCTCTGGGCTAGGCCCCATGCTGGGCACTGGATTTGCAACAACAACAAAACATACCCAGTGCCCCACCCCCAATCCAGTGGCAGAAACAACCCAGTATCTTCAAGGGTTGTGATGGGACCAGCACAGGGTATCTTTAGCCTGAAGAAGATATCCTATCCCATACTTGGGGATCAGGGAGGATTCCTAAAGGAAGGGCATCTCAGCTGAAACCTGAAAGATGAGCAGGAGGGAGCCAAATAAAGAGAGCAGACAGGTAGGAAGAAGGAACAGTCCACACAAAGGCTGGAGGCAAGAGAGATTGTGTTGGCGCAAAGAGCAGGAAGGTGGTCAGATGGGCTGGAGTGCCGTGTGTCAGGAGGGCAGGAGAGAGAAGCAGTGTTCAGATTAGGGACCTGGGCCTTTATCCTGAGCATATGGGGTCATAGGAGTATTTTATGGGTTATCAGTTGTTATGTTCTAGAGAGATTCTAGCCTCCTCTGCTTCCAGATCACCTGCCAAGCAGCTTCTAGAGTCTTCCTTGAGGGTTGGGGATCCTGGCCGCCTCTGCTGACTGCTTGCACCCAACCTCAACCTTCATACAGATTCTCACCACCCACTAAGCCCCAATCAGTCCCGGACCTGGCATCCAGGGCCTCTGTCCTGCTCATGTGTCCTCCTGCCCAAAGCTCCCATTCCCCTTGACCAAACCTTTCCTCATGCTGCTCCCTTATGCCTCCGCTGTCTCCACCTCCCCAAAGTCTACTCATTCTGCAAGACCCAGCGCCAATGACACTTCCCCCAGGAGCCTTTTGTGACAACCGTGATTTCAGGTGTCTTTTTGTACCGAGTTCCCACAGCACGCAGTTTGGCTTTTGTAAAATGAGTCCCGATGGCAGACTGCTGGTTGTCCCCATGTATCCTTCTTCACCGTCTGCCTTTAATATACAGCCTCCATTTTTTCATCTGGTGACATGGCCACGTGGACAGGAGACTAAGTTTCTCGGGTTCTCTTGTAATTAGGAGTGACCACGTGACTAGGTTCCGCCCAGTGAGACACAGGTGAAAGTACCATGTGGGTTTTCAGGACCATTCTTAAAGGAAAGGGACTCCTATCCTCCCCCTATCCACTCTCCTGCTTTGCGCTTCCATCCTCCCACCTCTGGTATAATCATGCCTGGTGCACACACTGCACTTTGTTCCTGAATGCAGTGCCCTCTCCGTCTTCACCTGGGGACTTTCAGGGTCACCTCTTGTGGGAAAGCTTTCCTTGTCCCCCAGACAACGTATCTGGATCTGACTCTCTCATAGCTGTGTCACAGCACATTGAAATTGTCTATTTACGTGTCTGTGAGTAGGAACCATGTTTATTTACTCCAGTGGAGCTGGTGCCTGGAATAGGGCTCAGCTCAGGCAGCTGCTCAGTCAGCTCTCCTGAGCTGCCTGATGAGCACCTGGTGAGCAGGGGCTTTGCTTTTCGCACCATCCATCTGCAAACCTCAGGGACTGAGCATGCGCTGGGTGGAGAGCGCTCACTGCGTGCTGCCAGAGACCACAAGAAAGAGTACCCCAGCATCGGGACTCATCCCCCCACCAGACCTGCTGCCTTCAGACAGAAGTCAAACCACCAGCTGAGCGTCAAGGGTTTCAGAAAAGGAACTCAGGCTTTGGGCAGAGAGTGGGGAATGTGTGGTCTGACAGAGCAGGGTAGATCCTGGTTCCCCTCTCTTTGTGTAATAATAGCATCCCAATTTGGCTTTGAGGGAGCTCCCTTATCTCAGCTGGATACACCAGGGCAAGAACGCTCATCAGGGTGCCCTGTCTCCACAAATGAGGGGCGGTCCCAGGACTTCTGGGGTTGTCTCCCTGGTATTTGCATCCTGAGCAGGTGAGGGGTCTGGTAAGGAGGTGAAGCTAATATTCAGCAGGAATACACAGCAGGTTCACCCACGGGGCCACGTGCCCTGAAGAGTCCATCCCTCACTCCTTCCCCAGAGGGGCCCAAGGGCCTCCCTCCTGGTTCCCAGCCTTGCTTCCTCAAATTTTTCTTAAACACAAACTCCCATAAATTCCTTTCCTGCTTAAGGAAGCCATATTTGCTTTCTATGGCTTTAGCCCAAAGACCCCTTTGAACACAGTCTGGCTCAATGGAATTTCTCCTCCTCTCTTTCCGCTCATTTGCCCCAGCTCATCTCTCCTTACCATCCTTTGGTCCCCTGGTGTTCCTTCTTCCTCCAAGAAAGAGTAATTTAGGGAGACATTGATGGGAGAGATGAGGTCTTGAATGCACACCTGAGGGTGGTAAGAAGACACCCTATGTCATGAGTTTAACCTTGACCACATGTCCAGTTACATGCATACCTGGTCCATGTTTTACAATGATGGAATTCTAGTAGTGAGTTGTCTTTCTCACCAGCAGCAGAAACGCATTTGCTACATATCAGGGCTGCTTCTTAGCACAGGTGTCGATCCTCAGCCTCAAGCCCACAGCAGACACCACTAACCCCCCACCTCCCATGGCCCGTTTTCCCACCGAGTCCTGACAGAAGTCCCCAAATCTTTGTCAAATGGCTCTAGGCAACTATGAGCCAAATCTGCACAAGGAAAGCCCCTTCTAGAATGTCCTGGTTCCTTGAGAACAGGGTGGGTCTTCATCTTTTGTGTTATCACCAGTGCTTTGTGGGAACCTTGGGTTGTATTCACGTCAAGTTTCTACCAACTTGAATGTTGTTATTTCCACATTAAAGAGGAAGAAAATAAGGTCTAAAAAGGTGACACTTTTTTTTTTTAAGGACTAGAACTAGGGAGTGAACCCAAACATGTCTAACTCCCAAGTCTGAAGTCTTCCCATCATGTCAGTGTCTCTTCTCTGGCAAATTTATGTTTAAAATTCCCAAGTGTCAAAGTGGGACAGGGTGAAGGGAGGAGAAGGGCCCTGAACTGAGGTATGAATGAACTAAAATTGAGTGGATAATTGTGGAAACTGGGAGATGGGTATTTGGGGGTTCATTCAACTATTTCTTCTTTTGTAGGTCTGAAATTTCCCATAATAAAAATGGTGAAAGTAACTTCAAGATTTTATATACCCATCGCATGCCGAGTCTCTTATGAAACATTCAAGAGACCAGGATAATTGAAGGTCAATCCTATTTTACACAGGCCCGCGAGGAGCAAACCAAATTTGGGTGTTTTAGCAGTGGTTTAAACCAATATTAAAAAAAAAACTTTCTTTGGATGGATGTGAATAATACATGACCATGTGCACCTGCAAATGATACAAACCATGACTGAATATTCGGCAGCCTCACAATTATGAAAGCTGGGTAGCAACATTGATATATGATGTATGAAAGAGTCGGAAAAAACAGCAAGTACTTTACAGGCATAATCACATGAAAAATGCCTATATATATGTACAGAGGGTGCCAAAAAAAATGTAAGAAAGGAAAAATCTATTAAAATTGTAATACTCAATATATACTGATAACAAAAGATGAATACGAGTCATGTTTGACTTCTGCCATTACAAGAAGTACTCAAAGTGGTACCCATCAGCCTAATTTTAATACAGTATTTTTCTTTCTTAAAATGTATATACCTTTTTTTGGCACCCTCTGTGTATTAAGGACCAGAAGGAAATATGCTAACAGTGTTATAACCACTATTGTACAGTAGTGGTTATAACTGCTGGCTATAATGGCAGTAGAAAGACAACGGGACTTGCAACTCGGCTGTGAGCCACAGCTCACTAAACCTCACACCCAGCTGTCTCTCATCGTTGTCAGCTCAGCCATCCCTTTGATTCCTGGAGTGGCCTTGCTGGGTCCCTTACCGGGAAGTGGAACCAGAACTCAGTGCAGGACCTGACTGGGGTGACAGCTGTGTGGCCGCCGAGTTCAGGTCTCCCTCCTGGAAACAACCCCCGGCTTCTGGACCGATGGCCATCCAGCTGCAGTGTGTAGGTGAGGTTGGCAACCAGGGGCCCTGGGAAGGGGGGAGAGGCAGGAGTTGAATGGTGGCAGGGTCACGGGCCCTTTGTTTGGATTCGGAGCGGACAGCTGCTCTGGGCAGCGGCAAGACAGCACTGACCTTGGAACTGGGGGAGGAGAGGCTTGACCTGGAAACAGACCGTGATGTTGACGCCTTCCTTCTTCTGGATGCTGGCTGAGTGGGAGCATTCTACTTCATGCACGGGGATCTCAGCCGGGGAGAAGGATATCTGAGTGACAATGTCCACCACGGGCCGGGAGCTGCAGGGCAGAAAACAATCCACGCTCTCCCTTGCGGTGCCCGGTCAGACCTGGAGCTCCAGCCATCAGAGTCCAGAGGGATTCTCCGTCCCTAAGGCAGATCTCAGTAGCACAGTCTCCTCACAGAGAGAGTCATAATGACAATTCCGTAGGGCCCCTGGGGTCCATTCTAGCAGCCTGCTGGCCCATTTACTATGCAGAAGAATGAGCTTTTAAAGAGGGATCCTACCGAGCTACTTCCTTGCTTATACCCTTTGCTGATGCCACATAATATTCCCATGAAATGCATACTTTTCACCAACCATGCCACCTGGCCTGCCTCCCCAGTCCTACGTCCTACCACACTCTTCCTTGGCTGATCATGTTCCAGCCATGTCACACTTTCCCTGCCTTACGGCCTTGGTGCATCCTGGTCTTATCGACACAGAAAACTCCCACCCCAGCCTTACGTAAACCTGGCTTTCTCATCTTTCAAGTCCCAGCCCAAATATCACCACCCCACAGAGGTCTTTGATGGCCACCTAATCTATAGTAGGTCTCCCCACTATTCTCTCTCACAGCACCCCCTTCATTTCCCTCATAGCATGTATCATAATTGGGATTATAGCTTTATTTTCAGTTTTTGTTGTATGTTTCCCCACACATCAGGATTTAAGACATAGTAGGGGTTCCGTCAATATCTAGTCACTATATGACGTTACATGATGCCTCCAATAACTCTAAGAAGTGGGTAAAGGTGGGAGATGTCATCACCATTTCAAAGGTGAGGAAACTGAGGGTCCTGAGAAACTAAGGGACTGAGCTTGAATCCAGGTCACTAGGTTCCAAAGCCATCACATGATGTTGCATCTCTAGGGGGTCAGACAGGCCTGGGTTCCAGTCCCAGTCTATCACTGAAATGGCTGCTGTGTAACCTGGGGTAAGATGAAGCCTGTATAAAAAAAGACCCTCTCTCACAGGGTTGGACAGAAGACCAAACGAGAGAAGGTCAGTGAGCCGTGAGCACAAGGCCTGCACACAGCAAAAACGAGAGCTGAAATGACCACTAGCTGGGACTTGGGCATCCCCTCTTACCTCAGCACAATCACCTGACCCTCGGCCCCAACAGCCACATCTGCCAAGCCATCCCCTCCAAGGTCCTTCACTCCATGGATGGAGCGTCCAAACCATCGAATTCCTGGGGACACCTGGCTCCCTTCTATCCGCTGAGACCAAGAGAGAAATTCATGCTAAGCGAGGAAGACGACCGGCTGGAGGGTGGGAAGGGTCAGGCTAGGGAATGGGGCCTGGGCTGAGGCTCCCAGGCCCCTGGGAAGGGGCTTTAATTGGCAGGCAGGGTACCTCACCTGACTGGGCCGGGGGTTCAACCCGCCAGGCTGCCCATTGAAGATGTACATAGCCCCCCTCTCTTCTAGAGGGGCTCCCACAGCCACGTCCATCAGCCTATCCCCATTGAGGTCTGCCAGGGCTGCGATGGCTGCTCCAAACTGCCCAAGGGGGTAGCCAGCATTCCCCTGCAGGTCTGTGACCATTTCGAACCCCAGCTGGGAAGGAGCAAGATGACAGGTGCCACCTCAGTCATTCGGCAAGCTTTCACAGGGCGAGGCCTCGTGTGTGTGTGTGTGTGTGTGTGTGTGTGTGTGTGTGTGTGTGTGTATAGAACACTAAAGAAATGTCAGCGCGGCCGGCCGAGTGGCACGTTGGTTAAGAGCTGGCTTGGGACGCCAGAGGGCACTGGTTTGGATCCCACATATGAGGGCCAGTGACACTGCCCTCTACAGCTAAGTTGCTGAACAACAGCTCAACCTAGAGCTGGGCTGCCGTGAGTCGCTGGTGATGGCGTAGGCTGCAGCCCCTGCTGCAGTGGGTTGCCAAGGGCTACTGTGTGTAGCCAGCAGCCAGTGTGAGCAGCCAGCAGTCGCCGTGAGCGGCTGTCCAGAAGCCCGCAACTGATCTGCCTCGCCCGGGAAGAGAGCAATGATAATACCAACATGGGCCAGTGAAGCGACGTCCTCCACAACTAGACTGAAGAACAAAAGGACAGCAGCTTGTCTGTTCCCCTTCCCCGAATTCCCCAGCGCTGTTCCCATCCCCCAATTCCCCAATAAAAATCTTTAAAAAAAAAAAAAAAGAAACATCAGCTATGGTCCCGTACAGAATTAGAAGAATGCCATCAGACCAACCTGACTGCAAGCCCCAGCCCTACCTCTTGTCATCTGTATGACCTGGTGGCTTTGGAAAGTTCCCCAGCCCTGCTGAGCTGCAGTACTGTTTGTCAGGTAAAGCTCAGAGCACCTTGTTGGGTGACTGAAATGTAATGAGGGTTCATTGATATAGAAGGTTTGGCACTGGGCCTTACAGTTCCCACCAGTGAGTATGAGCTATCATTTGTCTGTTGTTCTAAAGGTCTGATGAACACGTGATCAGACTGGGAAAGTCTTCCGGAACAAGCAGGACCTGAGCAGGCCTGGACATCTCTGCCCCACACCTCCCCAGCTCAGTGCCCTGCTACCTACCTGTTTTTTCTGGTAGATAGACACCCGGCCTCCTCTCTGTCCCCCATAGAACAGGGGGGCTCCAATCAGCAGCAGCTCTGTCTCCCCATCTTGGTCCATGTCAATGCCACACAACGCACCGCCAAAGTAAGAGCCGATCTGCAGGGTGAGGGAGACGTTTGAGGGGAGCCCGTGAGCCCCTCAACCGCTCCCAGTGCCTCAAACAGAAGTTCAAACACGGGATCCCACTTAGAGCCTAAAGGAATTAAGACACATTAGGTTCTTTGAAGTTCAGTTTCTTGAACCGGCAGAAGAGATGACCAAGCTTACCTCAGAGGGCTATGTGGGGAACAAAAGAGCCTGCCACACAGGAAGTGGATGCAGAAGGCAGAGGGAGGCCTGCCCAGTGTCACCCAGCCCGTTACCTGCGGACGCCATGCGCCTTACTCACCTGGGTCCCATCTATTTTCTGGATCTGGCTCCATTGCCTTTTGTCTGTCTCCTGAAACAACAGCACCCGCCCCACATGCTGGTACCGGGGGGCTCCAGCTGCCAGCAGCAACATGAGCTCTCGGGAGGGCAGCCAGGCCAGCGAGTACCCTGAGGAGAGGGGTGGGGGCTGGAGTTAGAAACAATGATGCTGGAAGAGGGTAACACCCAGGGGAAAAGGGACAGAGACTGTGGGAAACTGGTTAGTCACAAAGATACACTGCAACAGCCAGAAGACCTTCTAAGAGCAGCCATGTGCTCGGAGCAGCACAGGTCCTGCTGTCTTGGTCTGAGGCTGCGTTTCCCAAACTGTGGACACACACGCTGGGGAAAGCAGCCACATGCCCGAGGGCAGACATGCCACCTCTTCCTGAGGCCCGATTCTCCTGGGAGTCGGTAAGGGAGACCACACTTTATTAAAAAGAATCAAATAACATGGGATACATTAAGAAGAATGCAAAATTTGTACAACTATTAAAGATAAAGCAGGAGACTTGATTTTCCTGCCTAAAGATGTTCCCTTGAAGGTCTCTTCACACTTCACACCTCCTGAGATGAGGTTCTGTCCCCTCTGGAACAGCACTGGTGACATGTCTGAGGAAAGGCTGCAGAAAGCGACCAGGGGCTGGGCGAGAGCCAGCAGCCACCTGGCAGAACTGCTCTGACTCAGAAGGCGACCAACTAACCCCAGTCTCTGCTTAGGGCAGTTGAAGATGAGTGAGAAAGCAGAGGTCTGAGGCCCTAGAGCACATGAGAGGAAGTGTGAAGCGGCAGAACCCCCTCCATTCATTTACAGACATTGCCGAAGCACCAGGGTTAACCCTACCAGACCGCTGTACCGATTTTTCGGTAATTTCCGAATCTGCCGCTATACCACTGTACCTAATTTTCGGTACTTTGCCTAGTACGTGAAAAAAATGCATCACAAACTAAAAATAACCAACCAATCGTGGTCAAACCTCATGGTTAGCCATTGCAAATGTATGCCCCCATGTGTTTGAATTGACTTTGTGTGGTTTGACGTGAAAAAATTCTGAAAATTCACAATGAAACGAGTGGCTGATGAACCAAGCACTTCAACAGGAAAGCGAAGTAGGTCTAGGCTTATCACAGTCCAACAGTTGATCGATACTTTGGCTGATTCAGACTCTGAGGAGTCAGAATTTCATCAAGAATACATTTCCAGTTCAAGTGACACAGACAGTGAGAGCTCGAGTGATGAGGAGAATCTTGAACCTTATAGATCTAGAGCTAGATGTGTGCAAGAAATACAGATGCCACAGCTGGTGAAGGACTATAATAAATAAATGGGTGGCTGTGACAAAAATGACCAGATGACCCGCCTTCACCGGTCTCGTCGTCATTACCGCTGGCCCCGGCGGCTTTTCATAAAATTTTTTATGTGGGCCAGTTATAATTCTTATATCTTGTATGCTTCAAAGCAGCAAGCTGCTTCAAAAAAGCCAGTTTATTTCACCAGATATATTCAGAAACTGTGCCTGCAACTTATTGGTGGATACAGGACATCAGCCCACCGCCACCCACAAAAGGAACCCTGCCCTCAACGGATGACCCCAGGCAATCATTTTCCAGAGATTCCCCCTGGGACATCGTCTAATCATATCTGTGTTGTGTGCATGGAAAAGCACTCCAGGTACAACAAGCAAAATCCTGGAGTGTCTTACAAAGACAATCCATGCAAGAAGGTGAAGAGCAACATCTGGTGCTCACTTTGCAAGAAGTACCTCTGTGTGAAACAAGGCTCATCCTGCTGGGTGGATTGGCACACAAAGGTGGAATATTGGCGCTAGATGAAAGGTAGACCTGGGGCCAGCCGAGTGGCACGATGGTTAAGAACTGGCTTGGGATGCCAGAGGGCCCCGGTTCGGATCCCACATATGAGGGACAGTGACATTGCCCTCTGCAGCTAAGATGCTGAACAACAGCTCAACCTGGAGCTGGGCTGCAGTGAGTCGCCGGTGATGGCGTAGGCTGCAGCCCCTGTGGCAGTGGGTTGCCATGGGCTACCAAGCCAGCCGCCAGCGTGAGCGGCCAGCAGCCGCAGTGAGCGGCCGTCCAGAAGCCGGCGAATGATCTGCCTCGCCCGGGAAGAGCGCAACGATGGTGCCAACTTGGGCCAGTGAAGCAACATCCTCCACAACTAGACTGAAGAACAAAACGACAGCAACTTGTCTGTTCCCCTTCTCCCAATTCCGCAGCGCTGTTCCCATCCCCCCAATTCCCCAATAAAAATCTTAAAAAAAAAAAGAAAGGTAGACCTATTTTCTACAATGTCTCCAAGTTCCATCTTATTCTAACCACTTGTTTGCATGTAACTAACACTTTTCTATATCATGTTGGTTTTTTCTCTTTAATGCTCAGGAGCCCAGGTATAGGGGACAGTTAGGTTCAGGACCTCAGGTCTGGTAGGGTTTTAAGAAGCTGCCCTCTGAAATCGGAGACAAGATTTGAATCCTAGAATTACTACTTCCCAGCTGTGTGACCTTGAGTCAACTGCTGTACGCTTCTGAGTCATCTGAAAAAACGCGGGTAGTCCCAACGTTATCGGGTGATTTTGAGGAGAAAATAAGACCATAGATATAAGTTTACCACTGTGCTGGTGATATCTCCACTGGTATCTGAAGGACAGTAGCACAGCAGGCACTCAAGATTATATGTGTGTGGTGTGTGAGCATGTGTGAGGGTGAGCGTGTGTGTAGTGAAGTGAGTGCTTAACCAGAGATTAAACATTGGAGCTCTCCTTTAGTGAGAAACATTGCTGGCTCTTTTGCAGGGTGAAGGACAAAACCACCTTGTAGGCAGTGGTGTGGGCACTGCAGTGTACATATAGGGGTTACTAGCACAGACTTGGGGGCTAGACCACCTGGCATCCACCTACTTAGGTAAGTTATTTAAACTCTCCTGGGCTCAGGTTCTTCATCTGTAAAACAGAAATAATAAAAATACCTACCCACAGGGTTGTTGTGAGGATAAAATGAGACAAGATGTTATCTCGTGTTAAGTGCTATGCACTTAGAACTTAATACTTGCTCAGTCAGGAAAGTCAAAAAAAGAACAAAGAAACAGATCACTGAGGACAGCCTCCCTTAGGAGAGAAGATGCAAGATGAACAGCACCAATTTTCCCAAGGAAAGAATTTCATAAGATCTGAGTGTTCTGAGAGTTTAAAAAAGGAGTGGCCACCCCTCAGCAGAGGTCATGGGTGAGGCAGGGTGGAGGGTAGTGGTTCTCAGTCAGTGAGATGGTAGAACCTGGAAGCAGTTCTACCCCAGGGCTCTTGAAGCCAGTCTGTGCCTTGGGACAGGCTACCTACATGAACGTGAACTAAAAGAGCTATAGCCTCTGAGCATAAGGGTCAGTTCCCTCTGCAGCCTGCGACAGCCGTCACCTTGGGTGGACAAGCGTTACAGAACCATGCAGGACAGGACTGCAGCAGTGCCACCATGAGGCAGAGAGACACAGCAGAAGCTGTCATTTCCTCTGTGCCAGGGGCTCTGTGAAGACTGATCCAAGCCTGGAGTTCCTGGACAATTCAAGAGGAGGAAGCCCCGAAGAGGGGCTGCTGCTCCTCCTACTAACGAGGCAGGTTGCTTTAAAATGTACTCAGGATTTCAGGTAGAGGATGACAAAGTGACAACACAGAGAGGTCACAGCCACTGAAAGAAGCTTATTACTCAAAGCTCCCCAAAGCAGGGGTAGACAGGCCATGCAGGCCCACAGGGGGTCAGCAGGGGTCACCAGGGTTAGCAAGCAGGCAGAAGGAGCAAGGGAAGAGTGTGACCCAGGGCCTCTACTGTGGTTTCTGAGGGAGGGAATTGATGAGGCAGGGTTAGGATTGGACAATTTGAATGATGCCAGCAGGCTCTGTGCTACAAGATGGACTTCGGTTGTCTAGGACCTAGCCCTGGGTGATTGGTCAGGGGGCTACTGGCTTGGTGTGTGAAAGTTAAAGGAGGCAGTGGGGGATACAGGCTCTGGGTTGGCTGGTTGGCACATGAAAGGCCTCCTCCTAAGCGAGTTGTTTCCTCTCTGTAGAAAGGAGCTGGCCCTGGGTGGCAGGCAGCAATCTCTCCAGGGTTAGCGAGGTCGCAAGATATCAAGGCCTCAAAATATGGAAAACAAATCCATGACTCATACACAGGTGAGGGATAACTAAGGGGAAAGTTGAGAATATTCTAACCATATTTAAACTCTGAGTTTGTTCATGCAGCTTAATTACTTTATTTATTTATTTATTGAAAGTCAGTCTGAGCGACTCTCTGGCCCCTAAGGCTCAAAGAACTCAGTGTAAGACAGGCCTACTCACCCAGGTATCCTGCTCTCACTTCTGGTGTCAGTGGTTCATTCCCAACAAACACATCGTCCTGCAGGTCAGAGTTCAGGTCGAGAAAGCCCCCAGCCCAGTCCTTGGCTCCAACGGCCCCCACGATGCCACGGCCCTGCCCGGGGAGGAACACAAGCGAGCAGGGTCAGCGACATTCCCATAACACCCCTGGGCCTCTGCTTCAGGCTCCCCACTCACCCTGCTGAGGTCAGCGCTGATCCCGCTAGATGACAGCTCCATGTCAAAGGATGTCAGGTCCTGTTTGCTTGTGCCTGAAGGAGAAGGGAGAGAATCAACGGGCCCAGAACTGAGGCGGAGTGAAAACATTGATATTCATAAAAGGACTAGAGAGAAGCACAGCATTTGCAAGGTAGAAAGAGCACGAACTTGAGACTATCTCAGGCAGACTGGGATACGGCCGATGCTCTGGGTCTCAGTGACACTCCGTGAGCCCGGATGTGGGTATCCAGCTACAATCAGCAAGTCTAAGAAGCAGCTCTTGATTTCTGTTCCTACTCAGACTTCCCCACTTCAATGGATGGCACCCACACCCACCTAGTGAGTCATGGTAAAAACCCAGGAATAAACCTGTATTCTTCCTTTTCCCCCATTTCATCTCCAACACATCACCCAATCAAGATGGTTCTACCTTCGAAGGACATCTGAAAATCTGTTTTGTCACCACACTGGTCCAAGTCATCCTTCTCTCTTCCCTGATTCATGTGACAACTTATATAATTTCTGTAAGCCTCTGCCTCCATTCCTCCTCTTTCTGTGCCATTTTTCCATGGAGCAAGCCAGAATAATCTTTTTTTAAAAAAAATGCATATCAGATGACATATTTCCTTTTCCTAAAGACATTTCATTACTCCCCATTGCTCTTTAGGCCAAATTTCAAAGTTCTATGGGGGCCTTGAATGTGCCTGCCTACCTCTCCAACTTCCCCTCTCCCTTACTCCCATGCTCCTACCTCTGACCTCCCTGTTCCCCTACCACGCCAAACTCTTCCCCATGTCTGGGCCTTTGCACACTCCTCTCTCTGACTGGAACGCTCTGTACCCACATTCCTCACATGGCTATTTCATTCTCATCTTTCATGTTTCAGCTCCAAAGTTATCTCAGAGTGAATTTTATCTCAACTAAAAAATGGCATCTTCCATGAAAAGCCTATCTAGAGTAGCTTCCTCCAATTCACTCTGTTTCATCAATTTATTCATTTTCTTTACAACAGCTATCACCATCTTTACTTATGTGGTTTGTTCACTTGTTTACCGTCTTGATCCTACTTGGATATGAGCTCTACTTTGGCAACATCCCTGAGTGTCTAATTCTCAGAGCCTGGGACATGGTTGCTGCACGAGTGAATGAAAACGAAAACAATACCACCAGCCTTGCGAGGATGCTGAGAGGAGTGAATGAAAGAACATAAGGTGCTGTTAAATGTAAGCTTTCGAGAAACAGTAATTATCATGAATATTTTTTCATTCACTGCTTTTTCACCATTGTGCCAGGGATAAAATGGTGACAAAGCAGACAATGCCTGCTGTGATAGACCTTACAGTTTAGTGTGGGAAACAGACACTGAAGAGACAATTAGCATACAATGTACGTCAGAGGGGCTATGACAGAGAACACACAGCAGTGACAGCAGTACGTGGGAAGAAACACCTAGCCCAGGGGTCGGCAAACTGCAGCTTGCAAGCCACGTGCGGCTCTTTGGGTACGTTCCATCTCAAAAGTTTGCTGACCCCTGGAAGAGCCAATCCTGTCCCTCACAACATTTAAAAATTATCCAAGAGCCATAAATATATTTTTACATAATCACCATTATGTGAATAATATCCTTTAAAAATTTTATAAATGAAACTATGATAGTTTTATTTTCATTTTCAATTTTACTTCAAAGCCACATGTACGTACCCAAAGAGCCCCATGTGGCTCGCAAGCCGCAGTTTGCTGACCTCTGGCAACTCTTCTGTCTCAAAAGTTTGCCGACCCCTGACCTAGCCCAGACTTGTAGATCAGTGAGAACTTAGTGGAGAGAGTGATACCTAAACTAAGATCTGAAGGATGAGTAAGGGCAGTTCAGGGAGAAGATGGGGTCTGAGGATAATAAGACCTACAATTTAGAGAGAGCCTACAAGATTTTGGGAAGCCATTGTTAGGGACTGAATTGTATTTCCTAAAAATGGTAGGTTGGAGTCTTAACGCCTAGCCCCTTAGAACATGACCTTATTTGAAAATAGGGTCTTTAAGAGGTAATTAAGTTGGGCTGAGTGGCACACTGGTTAGGAGTTGGCTTGGGACGCCAGCTCTGAGCAGCAGGGCCCTGGTTCAGATCCCACATGGGGGCCAGTGATGCTGCGCCCTCTACAGCTAAGATAGTGAACAACAGCTCAACCTGGAGCTGGGCTGCCGAGAGTCGCCGGAGACGGCATAGGCTGCAGTGGGGCTGGCTGGCAGCAGGCATGAGCTTTTGTGAGCTGCAAAGAGCCGCCATGAGCAGCTGTCCAATCGCTAGTGAGCGATTGCAAGGAAACAATTCCTCCCTGGAAAAGGCCAGGGGGGAATCTCTTTTAGAACCGTCAGAAAGAGTATGGCCCTGCTGACCCCTTGATGTCTCAGTTCTGGCCTCCGGAACTGTGAGACAATACATTTCTGTTGCTTTAAGCCACCCGGTTTTCAGTACTTTGTTATATCAGCCCTAGGAAACGAACACAGTGAAACCTCCCAACCCTGTGAGATTGGAATTATCATCCCCATTTGACAGAGAACAAGGAGCCTCAGAGATTAAAACAACCGGGCTGAGGGCACCCAGCACAGGCAGAGGCGCAACTTGAGCAGGTCTGCCTGGTTCCACAATATACATACACCACCTGCTCTTGAACTCTCACATTCCCCTGCCTGGACACAGGACCAAGGCATTCCAGCAAGACCGGGGGCCCTGCCAGAGGTCACCAAAGTGCTGAGCTGAACCCCAAGACTGTGTCCAAGCTAAGGGGCCTTCCCTGAGGGAACTGTGTACCTTCCAGCAGACTAGGCCACCCGGCAAATACCCTCCCACAGCCAGACCTCCCTCTGGGGACGCCAATCAAAACCTTCTTATTCTGGACCAAGGAAGAGGGCTTGTGGGCTCCTTGCAATTGGCCTCTGCCCATCTTAAGTAATGTGAAGCCTAGGATAAGTGAAAATGAGGAAGTGGAGTGAAGGGGGAAGGCATTCTAGTCGTTCTACAGGGCTCAGCTGACACCGGCAAGAGAGAGGTCAGTTCTGGGCCCCACCCTGCAACAAGCTAAGCTCAAGAGGAAGAGGGAATTTCAGAGGAAAGAGAGGTCCTCCCGAATCGCCCTCTCTGAAGTTCCTGCCTGAGTTCTTTTCCAGGACAGCTCTTAGCACAGTGTCTGATACTGAATAAGTGCTCGCGACTATGACTCGGTGTGTCTCTAATCTAATGTCTCCGCTGATTTCCGCGTACGGCCTCCCAAACTCTCCAGCGTCATGCCACTCACCCTCAATGACATAGATCTTCTTTTGCAGCTCCGTGAATAGATCTTTAAGCTTCTCGAATGTGTCCAGAATCTTTACAAATTCTTTTGTGGGTTTTGAGGCAAATTTGTGGAGCGTCTCTTGACTTTTCTGGGTTTTAAAATACTTTCCAATCTGTGAGGGAGAAAAGAGTGAAGGGGTGACATCCCCAGAACCGCCGACTCACTTGCTACTATTTGCACAAGACTATGGCCCCAAGAAGAAAGAGGAGTGGGGTTCAGGAATAGGAGGGAAGATGAGATGGAGGGAGAAGCCAGAAGCTTGGGCCCCGGGGCCGGTACCCCAATGATGTAGCGAACAATATCTTCGGTCGCATAGATGTTCCCACCGTCACTGGCTTCCCCATCAGTGATGATGATAAGCACTTTGGTGGCATCTGGCCGGGCCCCCAGGTCTTGCTGGAACACCTCCTTCCTGGATACACGAAGGGAAAATATGAGTGACTCCCCACAATGTGAGGTCTCCCCACTGCCTCTCGTTAACACTGCCCTGCTTGAGTATGCAAAAGCCCTTCTCACATTCAAGCAGCTGCTGCCGACATTCCAAGTTCCCTTCTGAACCTACCTTGCCCTGGTCACCACACCTCTCCTTCTAGACCAGTGGCCTTCGGCTGAACTCTGAGCAGTCAATAGGCAATTATCCCACACTCCATGGGCGGTGACGGGGAGGTTTCGTGTGGGGATGCTCTGAGCTTCCTACCTTCCATTACAATCACGCGGCAACTGCCCTTTAATCAGATATGCTGGTGATCTAGGTGAGATTTCCATGGAAAATGTGGGTTCCACAGCTGAAGAAAACTGGTGAGTCCTTCGTCCAGAGCAAGCTCTTAGAGCACCTGCTTCCCCTCCCATCCCCAGGCTGCCTGCACACCTCTGCTACAGCGTCTCCTAGGGAACTGAAGTCACTATTTATGCCCATTTCCCCACAAACCATGAGTTCCTCAAAGAAAGGACTGTGTTTGATTTGCGGCTGTTTCTCTGGCTCCTGAGTCAGTGCTCAGTGCATGTGAAATAGGAGGAGGAGGAGGGAAGGGGTGACTCCTGGGCTCCAAATCCCTGCCCTGTCCATAGTCTCCTTCTGAAGCTACATAAACTGTCCCCAGCTTTTTCTGGGACAACAGCTCTATTTGAACCATCTGATCCTTCCCTCCCACCTCCCCACCCCCACAGCTAGTCAGAGATGGACAGTTAATCTTAGAGCCGCCATCCATAACGCCTGACTATGACATGGCCTGCCTTGAGAGCAGAAGCTGAGAGGCACATGAAGAGGCCACAGTGGGAGGTGCAGGAGGGTGGGAAAACTGCTTGGAAGCTGCCAAAGACGGGAGGAGCTCTGATGGGCAGGACCAAAACAACTGCTGTTAAGACCCCAAGTTCTATCTTGGATACAAAACGTCTCCCCAACCTCCGTCCACATGGACATGGCCTATCACAGGTTCTGTCCATGGATTTCCACCCAGGTTTAAACCAGTCATTTCTCATCTAGATTTTTCAATAGCTGCCTCACTGGCCTCCCTGCTTCCGCCCCTGCCCTTCAACAGTCTAATATCAACCCTGTAGCCAGAGAGATCCTTTTCAAAACATAAATCAGGTGATCACTTCTCTGCTCAAGACCTCCAATGACTTCTCAGCTTACTCAGAAGAAAAGCCAAAATCTCCTCACCATGGGCGCCAACTTACCCAGGCTCCTGTGGTGTCTCTGACCTCATCTTCCACTCCTTTCCCGTCACCCACTTCTTGCCAGCCCCATCACTGTCCTGGCTCTTCTTGAATATCCCAAGAGTATTTTCAGGGCCTTGCTACTCCCTTGGTTGGGAATCGTCTTCCCAGGTTTCCACCTCCCACAAGTGTGTGCTCATGTGTAACCTATAGAATATCGCTTTATTTTTCTCTATCAAACTTACATCTTCTACTGCATTGCCTAATGTACTTATTTATCCTGTTTAGGTCCCTTCTCTACTAGAATGTTAAACTCCAAGAGGGTGGATCTTTTTCTTCGGTCCATTCACCACTGGAGCCGCAGCACCTAGAACGTGGCGAATGACCCCCACAGGCAAAAGCCTTGTCTGTATGGTCCGTGAGCTAAAAACGGTTTTTATATTTGTTTTTAAAGGGATATAAGAACAAACAAGAATATGCAACATGTACCACATGAGGCCAGCAAAGCCTAAAATATTTATTGTCTGGCTCTTTACAGCAAAGATTGCCAACTCCTGACCTGCGACACTGCCTGGCATATGGCCAGATAGTCAAGAAGTGTTTATGAAATACATTCCCACACTGTCCTTTTTGCTCCACTGTTGACACTTTTGGGGGTGTGTTCCCATCCTGGGGTGACCCCTTTCTCTAAGAACTGCCCCCATCCCATGGAGGTGGGACCCCAGAATCCAAGCTTGTGCCATGTGACTCTACACCATAAAATGGCCCCAGGCCATAGCTGGGTGGACCCGTGGGCACCTAACCCAAACTTGGCCCATCATTTTCTCTCCTGGAGGCTGGAATTAGGGTTGAGGAACTGAGGCTGCATTTTTTTCAGTGGTCTTGGCTTGACCCACCAAAGCTGTCTACAGAGAGAAGTACAACAGGAACATGGCATGTCAAGGGAGCCCCAAAAGAGCTGCAAACACTCATGCAGAGGCTTGAGGAGATGCAACACATGCGTGTTTCATTCATGCAAGTCCAACAACGCGTGTTTGCCAAAGAAATGAAAATGAGAAAAACAAGTGTACTAGAGATGCTTCCTGCTACTTTACTCAACTTGAGTGTGTACCTGGGGCAAGCATGAGATAGGAGATTATTCTCTTATATCCTCAAGTTGGTCTCTGTTTCCATGGCTAGTCTAATGTTTAAAGCTATGTATTTGTAAAAAATATACAATAGGGTCCTTTGACACATCCAGCTATGTTCATCAAGGTCTCAATTGAAAGACAGCAATCTGATCCAACTCTAGGGGGAAAAATTTCTGTAGTAAATTCAGGAAATCGAGATATGCTAGTTTCTGGTATGGGCCTTGAATATATTGAATATTATGAACAATTCAAGAAACTGATCAAGGAGAATTCTGACAATTTGAGATTTCTGTTCATACCCTGACTTCCAAGCTGATCCCCATCTAAGAAGTGGCTCTCCTCTGGTTCACGATCACTTTCCAAGTCCTGGTTCTAGTTCCTTATGAGGCCAGGCAATACTCCCTGACCCGGAGGCCGAGAGCTGTACCTGCAGCCTCCCAAGAACCCCCTTTTGAGATTCAGTTAGGATCAAGTCAACTTCTGTTCCTTATAACCCAGAACCTGGACTAAAAGTGCTCCCTTTAAGTTCTTACAATAACCTGCCCCGTGCCAGGCCCACCTGTTGAGTTCTGCACACCAAGCTGAAAAAGCTAATGCACACAGAACAGCCCCTAGACAGGCTTTATCCTGCACAAGGGGACTCACACGACATAGTTGATGGCACGAAAGGTGTTGGTCAAGCCTCCCATGTGTTCCACGTTGGCCAGCAGAGCATCTGGGTTCTTCAACTTCACATAATCCAAGAAATTAAATTCTGTTTTGCATTCTGTTGAAAACTGAACAGCCGCAAACTAGAAAAAGGAAGCGATGAAATGCTATATATCTCCATTCTCACGTGTCTGCTCCAGTCTCTACTTCTTATCCAGGACCTGGGCAACCCAACTCCATATCCCTGCCTCAAGTCATTCTTTTGAAAATAATCTAACACAGAAATCAAGTGAAATAAACCTCTGATCCCTTATGTAGTGCTATCTGCTGAGCTCCTGTTCTCTGGGTCCACCTACCTCACCAATAGAGATGGTGCCCAATAGCCATATTTCTGCTGAGTGACCCTGCTCAATAGGATACTGTTGGCTGGGCCAGAAATAGCTACTTGACTGAGGCTATGCCAGTCAGAATGTCTTCACTGGAAATTTGGGATTTGCAGTGGGAGGGGTTGTCTGAGAGGAAGAGAACAAACAAAAACCCTCCTGCAACTTAGGAGCTTTCCACAGGCCCATGTGATCCAAAGGAGCTGAGGGACCATTCTATAGAGAGAAAGATAAGACGGAAGCAAAAGCCAGAAAGAAACAAAGATGGGAACCAGAGAAAATCCTAAAAGCTTTCTACTCCCTGGTTCTTGTCCCTTCCAGAGTTCCAGCGATAGCCATGCCCTTAGGTTCCAGAAACACCTCATACTAAATTGTCCTTTTATGCCTCAAGCTAGTTCTATGGGCCACAACCAGGAATCCTAACAAATATATTTACCTGGTAGGAAGAGTTGCTAAGTTTCTTCATTACATCCTTCATGAACGCCACGATTTTCTGAAATTCATCTGGCTGCAAGCTCAATGAGCCATCAAACAGGAACACCAGGTCTACATTGCCCTTTAGACATTCTGCAGAGGCCAGACACCAAGGGACTCGGTAAAATGTCTCTGATGGTTGGCCTGCCCATGCTGGGTCCCAGGTATGGGAAGCCACTGGGAGGTATTTTTATGCCATGCATCCCCAGTTCCTTACCCTGATAACCAGGGCGTCCCTGCAGCATAGGACCACTCAGATTGTGCTGGAAGAGGTAACACAGACCACTTAGATAGATATTCTGGTCACATGTCCGAGACAGCCCAGGGTCACAGGCCTGAAGGAAGTAAAGGTAAAAACAGTGCAATGTCTTCTTGCTCCATCTTTTGGGCATCATCAGCCAAGAACAAAAACCTTCAGATTCATCATCTCCCGACCTCACTCTCTGCATCCCACTAATTACCAAGCCAAGGTCATCCTGTTTCCAGGTTTCTTATGCCAATCTCTCCATCCCTACTACCAACACACTATGCCAAGGGGTGCTCACTGCCTAGAGGATAACATTGAAACTCTTTTATTTTGGTAGTCATATGGTTTACAGTGAATTTTATCCTACTTTTCCAGGTCCACCACATTCCATTCCCAATCAAACATTCTGTGTTTAAGCCAAATCAAATTACTCACTATCCCCAGACTATACAATGGTGTTTTTTCCATTGATGACTATCTTTCCTGCCAGGCTGCAGTTTCTTGAAAGTTGGGGTTTATGTCATGGTCATCTTTGTAATGCCCTCTCTTCCCTCATAAGAACTAAGCATAATGCCTGGCATGTAATAGTAACTAAAGGAGCTCCAATTAAATACTGGATCAGTATTTTACTCAGTCTTCTATTGCTCACGTAGCTGTGTCAGCAGGATGCTGTTGGGATGAACTGCAAAGAGCAATGAACTTGGAATCAAATGGGAGTTTTATTCAAATCCTGGCTCTTTAAAACCATGTGACCTTGGCCAAGTCTCTTCATCCCTCTGGTCTTGTTCTCATGTGTAAAACGTGTATCCTGATCCTTAACTCACCTGAGTGTCTTGAGGGTTCGGAGAGATAAAGCAATGTTTCCCAAACGTTAGGCATTTGTGTACAACCTCACAATTTCTGCCATACAGGTGTATCATCCATACTATTATTTATTCAATATTTTATTTACTTGAAATTTACATTTTAAAAAATTTTAGCCTCATCCTAAGCCATACGATTCAAGAAATTATGAAGTTGATGGGCTATTGTTTTTTCTAATAACCCATTAAATAGATCAATAACTATTAAAATACTAAGTTTGTGTACCACCAAAAATCACCTTGAATATCAATTGTTATAGTTCACATTTGGAACAAAGCTGAAGTAAGTACGGTTTTGAAAATAGCTGGCTCACAGCTTCTTCTCAGTAAGCTCTGACTGAATCTGAAGCTCTCCGATGCCTTTAATCATCTTGAGTCTAGATGACCTTTCATCCATTTTTTTCCTTCTTTCTTCAATCTCTGTTTCCTAGCATTGAGCTCCGCAGGCTCTGATAACACACTACACAGAATTCTTACCAAAAGGCTTCCGTCGGCGGGGTCTGCTGCCAAAGTCATTCCCAGGTACTTAGAGGTATAGTTTGAACCTGCAGGCACAAGATTGGTCTGGAGGACTTCAGGCAATCCAGGTGTGGTGGGGCCATCCTCGAGGTCCCTGAGTCACCCTTCCTCCCAGCTCCCTCACCAGGTACTCACCCTTTAGATTCACTGCCTGGCAGTGACCAGTGTCCGGCTGGCACTGATAGAGGTTTCCTGTGCTGTTGCCCTCGCCTGGAGCTCCCACGACAACCCTAATGAGAAATCTCACTTGTGAGGTGGAGATGGTCTCTACCCACCACTCTTCCCTATGAAAGGGGGTGCCAACTCCCACCAGTTATCTGAAAGCAATGCCACATTGTCCTTTAGGCCCCCACCTTTTTCTTTTCCACTGAAGCTCAAATAAACCAGAATTCTAGAAGCTGAAGCCTAGAGAATACACCAGAATGTTATACGTTCATGCTGGGGGCGGTGGAGGGGAGACACAATTCCTTCCTTCAAGGAGCTTAGTGTCTTGTCCGGGCGACACTTAGTGTTGCCAAGTGTTTCAGGGGCTGGGATGCATTTCTCCATCTATCAGGCACATATGTGGCATTTTAACGGGGGGTTGATCCTCATCCTACTGCTATCTGATGGCCTTCCTCCTGTTTCTGAGAAATTTCACCACAGACTCCTGGTGACCTGTCGGTGGCACCTACTGGCCAGCCCCAGGCCTGACGCAGGGACGCCTCATCCCTGGCTCTGCAGGGCAGGAAGGACCTGGGCAGCAGCTCACCCGTATCCAAGTTGCAGGACCTGGTACCCAAAGTGCCTCCCGGCGTCTGGGAAGTTCAAGTTTTGCACATGCCGCACATCCAGGTTGTAGCTCGAGGCCAGAGCTGAGAGAGACGAGGGGGGTCAGCCACATCCAGCCAGGGACCCTGCCACCCCCAGAGCTGTGGGGCGCTGATTGGCTGCTGCCCATGTGCCCCAAGGGGGCGGGCTGACCCCAAAGGACCCCAGCTCCCTCCTGACCCAGCCACCCACGCCTGAGGCCGAGCTGGAAACTGCCTCCCTGGACTTCTCCCGGAGGGTCTTGACTGGAACTATGGAAGCAACCCCAGGGCCTGGGAAGGATTTAATTTCCCTTTTGGCCCCTCAGCAAAGAGGAAAGATGAGAAGGCGGAAGCCTGTGAGAGAAGAGTAGATGGAAGGTACCTCATAAGGAGATGGGGATGCCCCAAGATGGGGTGCATCTCCTCTACACACCCACTTCTCCCCCAGGCTTGGGGCCCAGGTGCCCTGAGAACCCAAGTAATTAGCCTCAGGCATCCTCCCACAGGCTCAGAGTTTCAAGATCCCCTGGTCCCTGCGAAGCTGCCTCCTCCCTCATCTAATACTCCCACACTTCCCCACTCCACCACAGACTAGTTGCTTCTTTAACCATCAGATCTCAGGCAGCCAAGGCATCCCCTGCCAGCCCCTAATGGTCCTTTCTGGCCCTGCCAGGCGTCAGGCTCATTTCACAGCATCCTAGGGTGTGGGAGACGAGGCCCCACCATTTGTTCAGATGAAGAGACTGAGGCCCAGAAAGGGGAAAGAACTTGGCTAAGACGGCACACAGAGGGAGTGCTGTGGGTAGAACAAGACCCCAGCCAAGTTCTATGTACCCATTTCCCATCTGCCTTTTTTAGGGGCCTGCTCCCCCCTAGCTCACTGGTGCCTTCTTTGTCACCCATCCCATCCGTCTTGCCTCCATACCTTACCTATACTTTGGATTATGACTTTCTTTCTTTGCTCCCTTCTCCCTCTAGGATTCCACATTACCTATAGCCAATCCCACCCTTCAAGCAGCTCCTCCTCTACTCTCATCGCATAAAGCCTGGCCATTTCCTGGTCACAGGCACATGCCCTTCCCCTCCCCCTCCTCCCTTGCTTACCAAAGAGAAAAGGCCCAGACAGCAGCAGCCTCAGGACGATGATACAGGAGTTCATCTCTGAAGCACCTGGTGGGACCTCACCCAGGCTGTCTCAGAGGGCCCTTGGGGCTTGCTGGCAACCTACACAGGGTGAAAGAAGGAAATAAGGCCCCAGAGCCTCTTGCAGTGGGACTTTCTCAGACAGCAATCTGATGACACTGGGAGTGAAGGAGGGTTGTACCCCGTAGGGGTTGTGAAACCACAGGGTTCAGAGAAGGAAGTGTAAGCAGGTTAGAGGCTTCCTGTGCTTGCTTGCATTTTCACATCATCCAGAAGCAGACAGAAGAGACACCAGATGACTTCCCCTCCTGCACAAGAGCTCCTACGTCTCAGGCTTTCACTGACATATGACTCTTTAAAGCTCAAGTACAAGACTAGTCAAACTGTGGTACAACCACAATGAGATGGCTTTCTCTTGACATTGGAAGATGCCCATGATACACTGTTAAAGACAAAAAGCACATTTCAGAACAGTATACAGTATTTAGAAACTCATTTTGATTCTTAAAAATACAAAACGATACCCACAGAATGAGTCTGATATGGAACTGGTATCCAGAATATATAATGAACTCTTGTAATTCAACAATAGAAAGACAACCCAGCTTTTTAATTTTTTTGATCTGACACCTTAGCGAGTCTGCAGTGGTAGCAGCTGCTCTCTGAGCTTTGTTGTGCGGCCCAAGGATGACAAGAAAAATAAAGATGTCGGAAAGTCGGCCAAGAAGGACAAAGACCCAGTGAACAAACCTGGAGGCCAGGCCAAAGAGGAAAAGCGGTCTGAAGGCAAAATTCGGGACAAGCTCAGTAACCTGGTGTAATGCTGGGGCTCAGCTCCAGGCAGGTGAATGCAGGATACAGTGAGGCCAAAAAGGAACCACAATGGAGCCATGGATGGGAGTTCATACCACTATATTCTCAATGGTGGCTGGTCGAGATCCAAAAAGCAAACATCTGCCAATACCCCAACAAGCGGCCTTCCTACACTAGTCTCACTGGTGGCCGGGGAGACACAGGAAGGATCAGCACCATCCATGACACCTGTGCTTGTTAACACAGCCACGGCATGTGTGGACATATATAGTGGCTAATGGCCAACCGGTTACACTGATGGCCAACTAGTTACATGACTGCTCGCATGTATGGGTTACATAACCAAGCTAGCATCTTTCCACGTGAGGCCAAAAGCCTGGTAACTGCTCTCCTGGCCCTTTCCCAGCACTCCACCCCTTCAGGCTCTCACCTCACCCCCTACGTGCCAGGCGTCTTCCACGTGGGGCCCTGTGCAAGGAACCTGGAGTTTTGCATCCACTAGTGATACCAATAGTAAAGGTTGCCACAGCAGACCACCACCATCCCACACTGAGGGCCCCAAGCAGGGGCAGGTTTGATTCCCCCGGTCTGCGAGAAAAAGTTCCAGTCCAGTCCAAGCAATGTCCCAGGGGGTGTCCCTCGATGTCCACTTATACAGCCATTGCCACCCGGAGTGGCGAATTTTCCACGGCAACCTTGAGGCTGAACTGGTGGGCAGTTCTGCGCAGGTCCAACAAGATGACTGATTTGCCACACCGGTAAACGTGTGGGCCCAATCTACCAGGACCAGACAGACTGCCTTTACCTGGATGGACCACCCACCGTAGCCATCAGCAGCAGCTGGCAGCCCTGGAAAGCGCTCTGGGCTCCCGTGCAGGAGGGAGTACTCCACACCTGTGTCCACAAAGGCAAGAACTGGCTACGCATGGTGGGGAAACAAATAGTCAATTCAACATGAGGCTTCCAGGCCCTGCTTTTCCCTGCCAAGCAGGTCCCTCGGCCTCCTCTCTAGTCAAAATGAAGGGTTCAACCATCGGCCTCTGTTGCCCCCTAAGGTGTAGGGTTTTGGGCCAATGTTGTCTGTAGGCAAACCGCCTGGGCACAGGTAGAGGCCTTGGTGGCAGGTTTTTCCTTCTCAGGGGTCTGAACTGGTGCTCTGGCTTCAATTGCTGCCACAAATCCAACAGACTCCCATGAGGCTTTCTACCCAATTTCTCCCTGTCGGCCCCCGCTTTTAGCAGGTCAGCCTACACTTGAGTGTGGGTGACCCAAGTGGGTCCCCCTTGTCCCCTTTGGGTGGTACTATGTACCCACTTCTGTGCGCATGGCCTCCCCCTCTCCTGGGTTGGCCACAGTGCAGGTGACAATATTCATTGGCTGTCCTATGGAGGGGGTCAAAATGGCCACTAAGGGGCTGAAGAAGGCAAAGGGGGCCATTTACTTGCAAGATTGTGTCTCACATACCAGAGGTGAAAACCTCCTTATCCAGCCCGTGTGTCCCCACATTGTAAATAGTGTTCTTCACCCCAGCTCTCGAAATACTTGCTGGAGCTCTGTGAACATTTGCCAATGGCCCACTGTGGCTGGGAGGCAACGGGCGTTCAGCCAAATGGTTCAGGCCACAGCCATTACCCTTCCAGGAGGGTTACCCCGGATTTGGGGAACACTTTGTAACCATTGCCATGAGACAGGCTGGGTGGTGATGGAAGCCAATGCTCCCATCTCTAGTCCTGACAGGAGGATACCCTCCACCCCTACGTCCTATAACCGCAATAACCAAGTGGCCAGCAATGTGGAGGGCTTCTGCTCCAAGTCTAGCAGCTCCACCTGGGTCAGAACAACTGGTGCTCGACCACCTGGGGTCGGGGAGGTGACTGGCCCGGGGCCCCACTGCGTTGCTGTGTTTTCACCTTCCGCGTCACTACGGGCCTGGCCTGAAAACAGGGCACGAGTGAGTACCAACCCCTCCTTGTCCTTACTGTCTTCCTCAGAGGTGTCTACAACTGTGGGAGAGACCTCCCCATGGCAGCAGCAGACCACCAAAAAGTAGGCGACGCCTGCTATGGCCAACAGGGTGGTGCACCATCTGGAGGCTAGAGAGGACCATCAACTCACCAAGGGGTCATATTTCTCCCAGGCAGCTGGCTTTTCCTGCTTCCAGCGCAGCTCCTCATGGGCTTCCATGTGCAGAAACTGTTACCAGCCAATTGAGTAGCTCCCCCCGCAACTACTGAGCAACTTTTAAGTTTTCTTTCCTATAAGAATGTTAAAAATAGAAATGTTAACTCTCCTTCCTAGTTTCTTAGTTCCTTAGCTCTTGGCTTTGATTACTTTTCTAACCAGTTTGTGAATCCTAGACTAAAGACCACCTCCCCCGCCCGCTGCTTCTTAATTGCTTTGTAAATCAGTTTCTGAATCCTAAACAGTAGATTGTAGAGCTAACACATTTATTAATTAAAATCTATTTTTCCTCATTCAAAGGCCTTAGGGATACAGATGACACCTCAACGAGATTGCCAGTCACAACCCAAAAAGCCAGCGCAGTCTTCCAGGTGGAGCTCATCTGACATCAGCTAGGGTGAGAGTTCCATGAATCCCCCAGTAGGCAGGGACAGCTCTACGCCCCTGCCCAGCAGGAAGCCGATACAGAAGAAGAGACCTCCTGTCACTTAGCTTCCCATAGAGATTTAGTGGGGATCACGTCTCTCAAGGGGAAAACTAGGCAGGCAGTTAAGAGGCAGGCATTGGGCCTCATTCTTGCACATCCCACAGGGTGTGATCGCCTGGGTGACCTCCCCTCTCCACCCAAAACTTCTTTTCATTGTAACTATCTACTTGTAAAACAAATGGGTCCTGTTGTCAATTACGGGTGCCAATCAAGTGGTCCCACACCCTTAGGAGAACAGCCCCTTCTAGAGAAAAGGGGATAAAAACTCCAAGTGTTGGGAAGTCCACCTTTTTTACTGCTTCTTCCCTTTTTGAACCCTTCCTCCCTTTTTTGAGCTTTTTGAGCCTCGCCTTTGCACGTGGTCCACTCCAAACTCTTTGGAATGTAATTTCTCTTCTAATAATGGGCCCTTGAGCCATTCTCTACTGTTTGCACCTACTTCTACTTCTTTGAAATGTACTATCTCTTTGAATAAACTTTTTCTTCAGTTTCGTTCAATTCTTTGCTCAAGCTGACAAGGACCTGGACTTTGCGCCGAGAAGGGCCCACTCTCTGACAACAAAACTGCTCCACCACCTTTCAGAGAGCTGTGAGAAACAACCAGCCCATGGTACCCGCAGCCGCACGGGCACTCGGCTTTTCAAGACTCCCCCAACTTCACTAAGGCCTCCTCCAGAGCCGTAGGGGACCCATCCATCACCTCCCACACCTGGGTGTGTGGTGGTGGTGGGGGGGCCCAGGCTTCCAACAGCATGGCTACAGCAAACAACATACTATTGGGTTGGAAAAGTCATGACGAATTTTTGCAATGAAAAACAGAAAAAATACATCATGAGTTTTCGACAACCCAATAGTAGGAGGCCACCCCAGGATCCCACCCTCCAGGGGGCAGAGGGATCCATTTCTTTGGCTGGCATTGAATCCTGCCGCCAACAATGCCAAATGTAATGCTGGGGCTCAGCTCCCGGCAGATGAATGCTGGATACGATGAGGCCGAAGAAGAACAATGGAGCCATGGATAGGGGCTCATACCACTCACTACATTCTCCATGATGGCCAGTGGGGACACAAGAAGCAAACATCCGCCAATACCCCATCCAGTGGCCTTCCTGCACCACAGTCTCGCTAACAGCCGGATGAGACACAGAAAGGAAAATCCACACCATCCACAACACGCGTGCTTATTAACGTAGCCCCGGCAATTGCATATATATAATGGCTAAGGGCCAACTGGTCACAGCTGATGGCCGACTAGTTACATGAGTGCTCGCATGTGTGGGTTACGTAACTGAGCCAGCACCTTTCCACGTGAGGCTGAGAGCCTGGAAACTGCTCTCCTGGCCCTTTCCCAACACCCAGTCTTGTCTGACAAAGCAACATACGACAAACCCTGTAAGGAGGTTCCCACCTATAAGCTTATAACCCCAGCTGTTGTCTCTGAGAGACAAGCTCCATGGTTCCTTGGCCAGGGCAGCCCTTCAGGTGCTCCTTAGTAAAGAGCTTATTAAATTAGTTTCAAAGCACAGAGCTCAAGTAATTTACACCAGAAACACAAGGGTGGGGATGCCCCAGCTGCTGATGAAGATGCATTAACACAGGTCCCACCCAATGTACATTTTGAAAAATAAAACTTTATTAGGCTGGCTCACTTGGTTAAGAGCTCGCTCAAGAGTTTGAGCTCTGAGCAACAGCGGTT